TAGGTACCGCGTATACGTGTGTGGCAGTGTGGCGTAACGATGAAACTAAAATTGAAGTGATTAAACTAGAAAATAAAACTTACGGTATGCCTTCTTACGTAGCGTTTACCCCCGAAGGCCGATTATTTGGTGCCGAAGCCCGGGAATATTTTATATCAGATCCCAATAATACAGTTTTCGGCGTGTACCGTCTACTCGGGCGACCTTATGACCTCTTTGATTTTGAGGAGGACATGCCTTTGTGGTCGTTTTCTCTAACGAACAACAATGGCTCCCCTATGATCAACGTAACAGAGCAGGGGGAGATCGTGTCGTTTACCCCTCAACAAATAACAGCCATGATCTTAAGTCGAGTCAAAGAGGCAGCTGAGAAACATATTGGGGGTCCAGTGACCAAAGCAGTGATCAGTGTTCCGTCATTTTTTACTGGAATGCAGAAAGCTGCTACGCGGGATGCGGCCATCATGGCTGGACTAGAAGTTCTAAGGATTACCAACGATAGCATCGCAGCTGCAGTAGCCCATAGACTCTACCATGAAGTATCGAACGTTATTGTGTACGATCTCGGTGGTACAATGGCTAACGTGTCACTTTTAGCTCGAGATTCCGTCTCGATTTATGAAATGACGGATACTAAATGCTACAAAAAATCAGGAGGGAAACATTTCGACAGCCGTATAGCTGCGTACTTCGCGAATGAGTTTGAAATCCAATTCGGTAAAAGTGTTTTAAATGAAGCGGCCGCTATGAGGCGATTGACGATTGCATCTGAACAAGCGAAATGGGCATTCACAGACCCAACTGTAGATGACACTATTATTTCTTTACAAGATTTTTACGACGGACATGATTACGTAAACTCGTTAACCAGAGAAGTGTTCGACGACCTATGCATGGACCTTTACGCAGACACCTTTAAGGATGTAGACGCGATATTAAAGGAGAATAAGGTGAATAAAACTGATATTAAAGTGATTTTACTTGTCGGTGGCGGCGGGAAAATCATAACTGTTAAACAAATGCTATCGGACTTCTTTGATAGACGTTTACTTGTATCTAATAGCGCGAATCCGGACGAAGTTAGTGCAATTGGTGCTGCAATACAAGCCGCTCTGCTCAATGGAGTTTCCCATCTATCGATAGACCACAAGATAAGGCCTGATATTTTACCAATGTCTTTAGGAATAGAAGCGTCCAAAGGCGTAATGGTTAAATTCTTAACAAGGCACCAATATATACCTTGCTCAGTACGTAGGCTCGTACCAATTTACTTAGATATGGACAAGGATAAAATATTAAAAGTTTATGAAGGTGAAAGAGCTATTACAGAACACAATCAATTGGTAATGAGTGTACCTTTAAAAATACCTGCTGAATTTAACGTAGATGAAAAAGTTATAGTTATACTTCGAGTCGATTTTGAAGGGAAACTACACGTATATGTCAAAACAAATTGTCGTCTGACTGATCAAGAGATAGTAGTAGATACCACAATGGAACCAATAAAAAGGGTGACTGCAGAACAAATGAATGAAATGTTATCAATTCCAGAATGTTTTCACGAAGAAGATTTAATCCAAAAAGCACGTCTAGAATCCAGATATAAACTAGAAAGATATATCTGTGACGTAGCCTACGCAGTGGATAGACCAGGCCGTTTAAATGCGACTGAGCGACAATCCATGGCAGAAGAATTACAAAGAGCCATGCAGTGGTTTTTTGTATGCAAGGATTGTACTAGAGATGAACTGGAAAGAAGATTCCTTGAGCTGTCTTATAGATGGGTCGAAATTACGCACAAAATATTCGATCAATTCTGGTCTTATAGACCGTTTCAGTGAATCCCGCGTAAAAAAAGTGAAGTGACAATTATTTTTGTAATCTGTGGTTCTTATTTAAAAAGTTATGTTCAAAGGAGTTTGCGCTGTATTATTGTAACATTAAAGTGCCCTTTCAACTGTGATTGGTAAGTAACATATTTTTAAGTGTTCAAATATTCGAATTCTTCGAATTTTGGTATTCAAGTTCCTATTATTTATGTAAAAAATATACGACTAATGATCATTGTTTATGATTCAATTTCGTATAATAACAAAGACCTAACTTTGGTTAGAATTTTTCAGTTTAAAAATTAATAGCCGTAATTTTTTTTAATAAAGTGTAAAGGATGATGACAGCTAATCAACTTAAATACTTTTTTAAAACGTCAAAGCTACTTTCAACATCAAATATCATACTTATTTCTGATGAATTAACTAGAAAAATATTAAAATTAATCTATTAAATTAATAAATGTAGAAGAAATCATTTTCGATGCAACAATAGATTTTTAAGTACCCATTGATTGATTTGATTTAGTCTCTCATCATCCTTTTTGTTAGGTTGTAGTCATTTTCGGTTGATTTTAGGTTATGTAGTAACAAATTTGATGTCGTAGTTATAAAGTTTTTATTTTATTGCTATCCTAAGTGATAATGTACTTGAAAGATGATGTAAAACACAACTGACGTTTCTATACCAAATTGTCTATTAGTTTAATTTTTTTTTCAATATGGCTGTGTAAAATACTTACAAAGGATTCTACGATAAGGGACGTTAGTAAACGTTTTATTCTTAATTCGAATTTGAGTTTATTAATTTGTAATCTATTCTTTTCAAAATATTTTTTTAGATGTTTTTTAATTTTTTATGTTAGGTTTATGTAATGTTTGTTATTTAAATAAAAATGCTTTATTTATGTAAAAGATAACTAATGAAAACTGGGTGTGTTACATTGTTTATGTGTGAATGACTCAAGGCAAAAATACACTATCGTGACGTGGCGTATAGTGGCACCGTGGCCACCAATCGGCTGCAAGCTTAGCAACTCACGACACGACACGATATGCAAGTGTGTCCAGAGGCGGATTAAGCCTAGAAAGCTTCCTAGGCAAGCACCTAATTGGCGCCCCTAATTTTTTTGGCACCACCCACACTATGGGCAGTTGGGCACGCGTTTTTCGGGGCGCCCATCTGTAACCTGGCGCCCGGCACTTGCCTCGTTTGCCTAAAGGATAATACGGCTCTGTGTGTGTCTCTAATCACAGTTAAATACATAAAATGGATATGCTTTCTGACACGACACGCCACAACACGATAATGTATTTCCGCCTTTATCAATGATCTTAAAAAGTTATATTAATTAGTTACCTTTACGTATGTAATTCAAAGTATTGTGTTCCTACCTTCTTTAAAAGATATTTGTGTTCAGAGTATTATTAATTTTAAATTAGATATAAATAATTCAAAGATTTATTAGATAATACGGGTAGATATAAAAATATGTTACCTATATCGAATTTTATAGTCAATATTTTACTTTAAAATAATTGATTTGTTAGTTTCGTACAAAAATGTTTATTATCTGTTAAAAATTATAATCTATATACCAAAGATACAATGAAAACTTTTTTTCCTATTTTAAAAAATGACAGGACAAAGTGGCTGGTAATCAAATCTTGTGCCAATGTGAAATGAACCTTTTAATTTAGGAGTGAAAGTTTTTAATCAATTGTATGTTATAAATGTTCTGTTTTAGCACAATATTATTTAGATGCAATGAAAACTTTTTTCCTAATTTAAAAAATGACAGGCGGGCGTGAATTAAATCTTGTGCCAATGAGAAATGAACCTTTTAACTTAGGAGTGAAAGTTTTTAATTAAATGTCAATAATATATTTTAGTATTAACTTGTATAGAAATTGTTATGCCAAAGAGATATTTTATAATATGTATAGTCGCCATTATTGTAAAACAAATTACTTAGGTTTGTAATCAAATGAAAATTTTTGACAGTATACAGTATCTTATAAGTATTTCAGTATCGTAAAAAGACACGAAATGAGAATTCTAATCTTTCAAACGATTTTACCAAATTTAAGTAAAATTTTTAACTTTTTCTGCCGATTGTTTTATTTTTTTAAACAAGTACTCTAAGGTCGTTGACAAAGGCGGGCATAGTCTCTTGAAGCAACGGCTGTGGCACCTGGCTACTATACACTTACACACAGAACACACACACATTGACACGAAGGACATCTGTCAATTTCTTAAGTCACACACGCTCACAAATATACCACGGACATTTTTTTTTTTAAATAAAAACGTTGCCCCACACTTGGATTTTCTCCTGTGTCGTGGGTGCGTTTACACACATACAAGTACACATACGCAATGACACCCAGAACCGAAACAACAATTTTTGGATCACACAAAGTGTTGTTCCACCAACCGTGCAGTCCTTAAATTTTACAATATTTTGGTGCTTAAATTATTTATACGTGACATGATTCCCACCTTTTTTCAACGTCCTTGAAGTCGGTACCTACCCTATTTATAGCAGTAGCAACCGAATAAATTAGTCGTAAGTGCAGGTAAGAAAATAAAAATTACTTAGATCATATTTTGACTGACACTAGAATCTAAAGGCCGTTTTCCTGTCACGCTTAAATTAGTCGTCCGCATGCGGGTGGTAGCACGCTCCGGGCCACAAGCAGGACAAAGATTTCGTGTGTTGCTGCATTGCGGCATAAGCAGGTAAACGAGCAGACGGATCACCTGATGGTAAGCAATCGTCGTCGTCCATTGACACCTAGAACACCAGAGGCGTTACAAGTGCGTCACCGGCTTTTTGGGGATTAGGAGTTTGAGGATCGTTGGGGATTCAGAGATTGAGGAGATTGGGGAAGGGGAAGGTAATTGGGCCTCCGGTAACCTCACTCACACGACGAAACACAACGCAAGGGTTGCTTCACGTCGGTTTTCTGTGAGGCCGTGGTATCACTCCGGTCGAGCCGGCCCATTCGTGCCGAAGCATGGCTCTCCCACACTTATCCGCATGTCGCCAGTAAGAGGTATGTAGGATTCGTAGTAATTGGCGTTCCATAGTCTCTGCCCCCATGGGAGACAGGCGAGAAGTTATGTAATTGTATGTATAGATATTTATATTTTTTCTCCCACAGATCTTCGGTTGCGTGGAGCTGTTCAAGGGTGACCAGCACGTACAGCATACAGCGATGATGGTAATGGCGATGCTCGGATTCTACTTCGAGGTCTCCAGGCATGACCGGGACCGTCATATACGAGTGCACATGCGTCATGTTAGACCTGGTAAGTTATTGACATTTTGTAGTTCTTTTTTATGGGACAAGTAGGTAAATGAGCTGGCTGATCACCTGATGGTAAGTGATCAGAGCATTCAGAGCCACCAATGGACACCTGGAACACCAAAGGCGTTACGAGTGCGTTGCTAGTGTTTTAAAAAAAACGCTCTTTTCTTAATGGTTTGAAGGTCGTGTCATTTATGAAATACCACCGATTTAGCTTGCCCGTTTGTTTGGTTGGGTCAAATTTAGTAATAGGAATTTCACCACCTTCCTGACGACAGATCATCTGATATTCGGTACACACTCCTAATCTTGATGACCATCCTTACCAATATTATTAATCGGAAAGTGAGTTTGTTTGTTTGTTCCACCTTCACGCCGTAACTACTAAACCGATCGCTTTAAATTTTTGCAGACGTAAAGTTATAAGTCTGGATTAAACTGTCAAACACCAAGCGGTCACCGGTGACCGCGACCTATTGTTCTTTAATTGTGTCTATAAAACCGGTACTCGACGAGTTAAATAATAGGGTACCTTTTATCCCGGAAAAAAATGATATTATAAAGGGAAAACGAAATTATTGGTATAGATGGCGCTGTGTGTATTGGTATGTGTCACATAGGCTACTTTTTATCCTTTTGTGACGCGAGCGAAGCCGCGGGTAAAAGCTAGTACAATATAATAGTCGTAAATTTTTCCACGACTACCTACAATAATATATTAATTTAAAGGTGGTCCCTCACCGGGAGCATTCGCGTGTAATGTAACGTTACAGATCTGAGCATTACATCAGTGAAGGAGAACCGAGCATTACAATGCGCACATTGTAATGATACAATGTGTAATATCTTGATACAACTTGTAACATCAATGCGCTCCACTTCCCCCAGCCCATATTCGAATCAATATGTTACATTACACGTAGTAGAATGCATTTGTGTCAGCTTGGAGTTGTCATGCTCACTCAAAAGTCTCATTGGCGGTGGCGCGTGCAATGGATCGCTAGATTCCTTGCAATATGGTTAAGTTGGGCGGTGCTGGCTGGTGTACGTGTCATGTTCGTGAACGGGCGCCGTCAAATGGGACTGGTCAGCTCCAGACTGTATTATTTATTGTCTTTAAGGTTATTTTCTTTTTCGATCACTTTGACTAGATTTTAGTGTTACATTGTTCTCGCACAATCCAAACAGCAAACTATGTAACTAGAGAATTGTATTGTGAACTTGATTGAAAAAGAGTAACCTATGGAGTTTCTTGCTCGTTCTTCTCCATAGGAATCTACACCTTGGAATGCGCAAATAGCTTGATTACACGCAAATGCTAATTAGTCAGGGAGGTATTATTGTATTGTAATGCTCAAAGTCGAATCTATAATGTTACATTACACGCAAATGCTCGTTAGTCAGGGAGGTATTATTGTAATGTAATGCTCAAAGTGGAATCTATAATGTTATATTACAGGCAAATGCTCATTAGTCAGGGAGGTATTGTTGTAATGTAATGCTCAAAGTGGAATCTATAATGTTATATTACAGGCAAATGCTCGTTAGTCAAGGAGGTATTATTGTAATGTAATACTTAAAGTCGAATCTATAATGTTACATACACGTGAATGCTGCCGGTGAGGACCGTTATGTATTTTATCTCCTTAATTTGCAGACAAACTTCACCATTTTGAAAAGATACGCGACGAAGCGACTTTAGACATGCCGTATGACTATCAAAGCGCCACGCATCCTGCTTGGCAATTTTGGCGGAAGATCGGCAAGACTGGCATATCCACAGTCGCCACTTACAAAGATCATGTAAGAATATATTTTTACAGATTTTTATTATACTTAAATACTGAAGTTTTACCACCACTATTCTTCCCCTGGGTGTACAATACCCGACGCTACTTAGGGACTACATTCATATTTAACAAGGATAACAGTGTTCTCTGTTATAACTTAAACTGTCAAACACCACGAGGACACCGGTGACCGCAACCTATTGTTCTATAATTGTGTCTATAATGACGGTACTCAAAGGGTTAACCTTATAAACAGTTATTTTAATGTAGGGTAGATTATTTTAAAACAGTGAACGAGTACCTACTTATTTTTTCTTTTCTCACAAAATTAAAAACTTTCGACGATACCTATATTGATTTGAAATATCGTGTGACCGTCAAAATACAAAATACTAATGCTTTATTGCGCACGACTCCTAAACTTAATTCCATTTTATCTAAGTACAGTAACTTTATACAACAAAATAAAAAAATATGTGTATAATATTTTTTCATTATGTATCTGACGGACTAATTAGATTTTTAATTTTCATACCCTGCCATCATCCCTATTCAGATCCGCAGATTTGATCACTTAATTCATTAAGGGTCACCCTAATACAAGCATGTTAAAAAGTAATCCGATTAACACTTTAACTGCCAAGTCAAAGATCACATCATCATCAACAGCCTATAAGTGACCACTAGGTACTGACCAAAGTCCTCTTCTCATACGGAGAAGGTTTGGGCATTAATCCCCACGCTTGCTCAATGCGGGTTGGCGATTTCAAACTTATAATTAGAAATATAAGCCCAGGTTTTCTCACGATGTTTTCCTTCACCGTTTGTGATGTGTTAATATGCTAGCTATTGTAAAAAACTATTGATTATATTTGCATTTTTTTGTGTTGCATACAATAACGTAACGTGGCAAATCGGCAAACTGCCACGAGCCTCCAGCTGGGAAGGTTCCCGTTCAGAGGTTTTCGTCAGAACTTCTGATTTTTTTATGGCATAAGCCGGTAAACGAGCAGACGGATCACCTGATGGTAAGCAATCGGCGTCGCCCATGGACACCTGGAACACCAGAGGCGTTACAACTGCGTTACCGGCTTTTTGGGGGTTAGAAGTTTGAGGATCGTTAGGGATTCAGCCCAGGGAGCCATATAATTGGGCCTCCGGTAACCTCACTCACACGACGAAACACAACGCAAGCGTTGCTTCACGTCGGTTTTCTGTGAGGCCGTAGTATCACTTCGGTCGAGCCAGCTCATTCGTGCCGAAGCATGGCTCTCCCACACCTTTCACTTTTTATTGGGAACGAGGGCCCATTCGATGAATTTGCCACGGGCCCTGATGGGTATAGCGTTGTTTTTTAATAAAACGTTGCCCCACACTAGGATTTTCTCCTGTGTCGTGGGTGCGTTTACAAACATACAATATATATATGCGTTCACATACACATCACACATAGACTCGGAACAACAACCTGTGGAACACACAAAGTGTTGTTCCGTGCGGGAATCGGACCCGCGACACGTTGCACGGCAGCCGGTTGCCCAGTTACCGCATCAATCGTGCAGTCAAAAGTTACGCCACATATGTCGGAATACTGAAACGCTACTCAATTTTAAGTCGTGCTCAAATATCGTGCCATCTCTGTCATTTTACAAAGAATTTGTAGAGACAGAACTATACTTAAGCACGACCTAAAATTGAGTAGCGTTTCAGTATTCCGACGACAATAGTCCATTTACTTTCGGGAAAGACTACGATAGGAGCCGATATCAATAGGAGCCGAGCAGCGAATAAAACTGCGGAGGAGTAGTTAGTATTATAAGCAACTAAATAGCTGCATATTACAGTTTTTGATGCTGATGAGAACTGGTTGTATATTGAGAACTTAGACAACGGGTAACCGGGGCTCCGGCTCGACGTGCAGGAGAAGGAACGGGGTGGTTTTAAGTCAGTAAGAGTCTGACACTCCCTCCCGCCTCACCCAGGCGGGAGCAGTCATTCGATGATTCTACCCCTTAAAAAAAAGACAAGATATAATGCGAACGTAGGATAATGTGGGGTAGACTGCAAAAAATTACTTTAGTTGATACCGTGTGTGTCGGTAGGTACTGGTATCTATAACTTTATTGCCGACACACAAAAAATAGGGTAGATTACTCATTTTTATTTTAATGTCCGTCAGTCTGAAATGTTATAATCACTACATAGTATAAAACAAAGTCGCTATCGGCCGTCTGTCTGTCCCTATGTATGCTTAGAACTTTAAAACTACGTAACGGATTTTGATGCGGTTTTTTAAATAGATAGAGTGATTCTTAAGGACGGTTTATATTTATATGTATAATACATGCATATTGCACCCGTGCGAAATGTGGCGGGTTGCTAGTAAAAATAAATAAATTAAAAAAAACTAATATTAACAAATATTTTTCTTTCGCAGGATCCAGACGGCTCCATAATGAGATCCCTCGGTCAAAATAACGAACTTCTATCACAAGGTGACATCATAAAAATAAATAGTGTCTATGGCGTCCACTGTTTCCAATCCAACAAGAATCGAGCATCAGAACGTATGAAGAAATCTAAACACAAATCGAAAAGATCTAAAAATAATAAAGATGAAAAACCATAAATAAATTTATTTAAAAAATTACTTGGTTTTTTTTATTTATTTTTTTATTTCATTTACATACTAGCCAGCAACACCTGATTGTAAGCATCATGGGCACCTGGAACACCAGAGGCGTTACATGTGCGTTACCGATCTTATGGGGATTAGGAATTTGAGGATTGTTGAGGATTTAGGGATTGGGGAGATTAGGGAAGAGGGAGGTGGTAATTGGGCCTCCAGTAACCTCACTCACAAAACGCAAGCGTTGTTTCACTATGGTTTTCTGCTCGGGGCCGTGGTATCACTCCGGTATCTATCGGTACCGGCCGGCATTAATACAGATTAAAAAATAAATGAAATGTCTGTTTGTCAATGATATTATAAAGAAGATACGCTACGTTCATACTAAGCGGCGTCCAAAAATTGTTGCGTTCTTATTACAAATGTACTTAAATGTCATTTTCAACTACGTGCGACAGATAATACGGAAAGTATGGTACAGAAAGAGATAGCTATTATAAAATTACGACAATTGTCTGAATTCGTTCGCAACAATTTTTGCGTGCCAGTGCGATATCTACCTCTTTTTATTATTTATAATATCATTGCTGTTTGTAATATAAAAATAATCACTTTTTACTTACCTACTACATGAATATACCAAAATACCAAAATAACACTTTTTACAGTTTTTATCTGTCTGTTTGTACAGGCTAATCTCAGAAATGGCTGGACCGATTTTGTTGGGATTTTACTTTATTGGTAGGAGTAACTTAGGCTATTTTTATTTTAGAAAAACGCAAAGTTGCGGGTACAGCTAGTTATTAACAATTACAGTCACAATTACAGGCAGTTCAGAATAAATTTGTTACCACCCCTACTCTTCCCGCGGGTATAGTATACCCGACTGAGAAACTACACATTTGACAGAGTCCGGACAGCAGTGCCCTTTGATAAACCTGACCCAGTTATGGAATTTCATTCTGTGATTATTCTGACTGCACGGTTAGTGCTTTGGCTAGGCAACCGGCTTCCGCGCAACGTGTCGCGGGTTGAATTCCCGCATGGAACAACTCTTTGTGTGATCCACAAATTGTTGTTCCGGGTCTGGTTGTCATGTGTATGTGAACTTGTATGTTTGTAAACGCACACACGACACAGGAGAAATTCCTAGTGTTTTTTTAAGGGAGAAAAATCATCGAACGCCTTGTCCTGCCCGGGTGAGGCGGGAGGGAGTGTCAGACTCTTGCTGACTAATAGCCACCCCGTTCCTTCTCCTGCACGTCGAGCCGGAGCCCCGGTAACCCGTTAGGTTCTCCGCAGCTCCGTGAAATTCCTAGTGTGGGGCAACGTTATTCTAAAAGACAAAAAAATGTCATCACCATCATCAATAAATAGCCCATTGAATAGTACATACACAGCTGAACTATGAAACTCATAGATATGAGACGTTTGTGTTAATCCCCTCGCTTGAAGATCACAATTTGAAATTATAAGCCGAAGATTAATGTAATTTTATTTCATTTGCCTTTCTTATGCCTAAATAAGTAGAATGTAGGTATTCTTAAGTGAAAATTCAATAAATTAATAAATTACTAATGCAGGTAAACCAACAAAAAAGTTCGCGCGCCTAAATCACGTTCATTACGCATGCGCTAACCAGCGCTGTCTCTTTGCTACCACAGATAATGTAAAAGTGTTACAACCAAAGAGGGTTTTTTTTATATTTTAAGGCGTGTGTAGGTAAATCTAAAATATGAATAAATAAAATACCAAATTAGATAAATAAAATAAAAGTTAACAACGTAAAATTATGTATTAAGGGCAAACTATTTACAATTGATTTGATGTAATAAAAAAAAATATGTACTTAATATTACAAAAACTATGTGTCTTCATTTTTTGAAGTTTTTCGTTAGACTGATATCGCTTTTACTGATGACATCGTAAATTATGATATCGTCTGCGAATGTGCGTTTTTTAAATACGCATTTTTCTATCATAATCAACGTACTGACGGCTGGAAGAAATAAATTAATGTAGACAACTTATTCTAAAATTATCTTAATCCTAGACAAAATGATCAAATAATTCTTTTATAAACTATGTTTAAAAAAATTGACTTCGACTCCCTCTTTTTAGAGGTTAGTTTTTAAATATAAGTAGGTAGGTACTAACACTTTCTCCTAATTGTAACAAACACTTTTCTGAAAATCGTATCTAAATCGGTACAGCTAAATTATTTTATCCAGTTATCTCGCTAATCGCGCATATAAACATACATAAGTACAAACACACTTGGGTACATTTTTTTTTTATTATTTTTTTTTTTATTTTACATACTACATAACTATATTCTTTAAGTTCGTTTTGTAGTAAATATCTTATAAAGTGCTACATTAGGACATATAATTTAATAAGCTATAGCTATAGCTGTACTGTAATGTTAGCTGTAAGAGTTTAAATAAATAAATAAATTCTAGATTCTTCTCAAATCAACCTAGGTATGATCTACTAGCATCAATGGCGCCAAAAGTGCAGAGAAATAAAGCAAAAGTTTTTAAAAAGTTATACTGTCGAATCGAGAACTTCCTGTTAAACCGATTTTGTTCCGACCGAAACCGACCTCTAAAAGAAGTGGTTGAAGTCGTTTTTTTTAATGTAGTTTATAAAAGAATTATTTATGGTAGAATTATTATCAGTTTTTTTGAGACTGCAAAGTGGTCTAATACTTAGTACATGTAAGTGTGATGATAAATGAATATAAAATAAATAAGCACCAACTTAGTAGACTACTTTTTCTTACAATGCGGGCTAAATTGTGGGTAACAGTTAATAAAGATAGATTATAAAACTAACCGGGTCTCTGAACGGTGGTAATGGTCATTCTTTCAATCTTATGTTCCTCTTTCCAATGAAAGAACATTTTTCTTATAATAGCCACGACCAGGGCTATCATAAAAAGACTTAGACCAAACAATATTGTGTACAGCGCCATTCGGTACCGTTGATAATGCTATAAAATACATTTTGTTGTTATATTTTGTTATTTTTTTGGTTTTTCATCTATATTTTGACATAGTTGTGACAAATCTCCGGCATATTGTGACTTTTCAAGCTATCAGCGTACCTGAAAAATCTATGTCGTACCTAAACAAAAAGGTTTTAGCGATATGCAAACTTTTTGCTGCAAATATTGATCATTTATCTGTTTTTTTATTTTATAGAAGTGTACATAAGTTTAATAATGTAAACGTAAAACAACGTTTGAATGTTTTGTAATGCTTGATTATCTATTACATTTAAGTATCAAGTTCACGTTATTGCATTTAATTTTACTCTAATGTAAGGTAGTACGATGCTGAATAATAAGAACCAGCCTAAGTTAAATCGAAAATATTTTGTAGCCCTATAGATTTATTAGAAGCCTTTAACAACTTTTTTGTTTTTTTAAATGTTTTTTTTTAATAGGCACAATATAACGATACCTACTTGTGTCTTTTGTAGCGAATAAAAAAAATCAAAATGTCTATGGTACCGTGGCGCGAAATTATTTTTGTTTATTAACTTTTAATCCGTGTAATTAATTCTATTTAAAATGAAATGACAATTAGACATGTTTATTGCATTGGAAATTGATAAAACATAATGAGTTTCGATGATTATGGTGAGTGAAATTTTGATAAACATATTTGTGATATGATTTCGTAGTGAAAACTGACCGATGTGTATTTTTTACTTTCCGTAACATTAATATTATTGTACCTAGTAGCCTGTGATCTTATTAACTTATACATATACCGGACACCGGACACAATTCCAGGCGCCTTGCTAATACTGAAATATTACCTATTCGATAAACCTAAAAATTTTCAATAACTCTTATATAGCTCGTCTCGAATCTGAGGCTTAGTCGCCTAACTCAATCTTCCAATAGCGACGACAAATTAGACAATAAATGTATTTGTGTGGGTTTCTGTGTCGTGGGTGGGTTTACAAACATACAAGTTCATATACACATGACACCCAGACCCGGAACAACAATCTGTGGATCACACAAAGAGTTCAAAGTTCATATACACATGACACCCAGATCCGGAACAACAAACCGTGGATCACACAAAGAGTTGTTCCTTGCGGGAAACGAATATGCGACACGTTGCGCGGCAGCCGGTTGCCCAGCCACCGCACCAACCGTGCAGTCTAAAGCGTTTAAACTGTCAAACACTAAGCGGTCACCGGTGACCGCAACCTATTGTTCTTTAATTGTGTCTATAAATATGGTACTCGACGAGTTAAGCGTGTAGTAAAGCAGTGGTTGGAGAAGACGGCCATAACTAAGCTTAAGTATCTCATTTTTATTTCCTTTTATTTCTTCCATTTTCACAGCAAATCACATATACCAAAAACATCGTTTAGCGACAGCATTAGCTATAATAAAGTCCAAACCAAAAAATATAAGCACAGAAGAATATTTACAAAAATTAAAATCTAAAGTTGAGAACAAAATGGATGATGACGATGACGTTACCGTTTGTAGTGCCGATTTTAATATGGATGACGATAGTTTGGACGACAGTCAAACTATATTAAAGGATTTTGATGAAGAAATCATTAGTCATCAGATCATTATTGATGATAGAAGCCAGGTAAGGTATTTGATGATTGTTGTTGGTACTGTGTGTAGTAAAGGAGTCGTCCGGAAGACTTAACTGGTTTCCGGGGCTCCGGCTCAAAGTGCAGGAGTACGAACGGGGTGGTTTTTAGTTAGGAAGAGTCTGACACTCCCTCTCGCTTCACCCGGGCGGATTTATTTTTATTGATTTATTTTTAGGCATGGTTATCTCACTGTATGGCAAAGGTCTCCCTACCCTCCTTCCACTCGTCTCTTCTTATAGCTTTCTGTGACCAATCTTTTACATAGGCGTCAAGTTCATCCCACCATCTCCTTCTGGGCCTTTTTTTAAGGGGGGAAAATCATCGAATGTCTGCTCCCGCCTGGGTGAGGCGGGAGGGAGTGTCAGACTCTTACTGACTAAAAACCACCCCGTTCCTACTCCTGCACGTCGAGTCGGAGCCCCGGTAACCCGTTAAGTTCTGTCCTCCGCGGCACGTTTTCTGGGCCTACTGCGACGTCTATTGACGTTAAGTAGGCTCCACTGAGTAATAAGTTTTGCACATCGCTAGGTTAAGGTTTAAATCAAAAATAATGATTGGATTGTAGTGTTTTTATTTTCTAACGTAATAGACCGAGTTGTCTACGGTTTTCATATCAACAGTTATCAGATCCATATAGGAATTTAGAGGCGAAACCTATCTAGAGGTCGATTTTTCAATCATCAGAATTCTTAATTGAGGATCATAAATTTGAATATTTGACAATTGCTCATACTAAAAATTGGCAACAGTCAATTTTATTCTACAGTTAATACAATTACGAGGTATCTCGAGAAATATCTTAAAGCATTTCTTTTATTTTCAGCCAATTCAGACTTCTGAAAATAATTCACAAACAACCTTTTACGAAAGCTCACAGTGTATCACTGAAAATATAACAAAAACTAATTCAGACACTGTAAAAACTGCTGAAACAAATCAAACAGTACATAAAAACTTAGTAATTCAGGATAGAAATGAGCCTAAAGAGTTAACTACAAATAGAAGCGCTAATTTTGATTTAAACGCTGAAATGCAACTTGTAGAAAAATTTCAAAATGATCCAAAAATTGGAGATAAACCTATCAATGAAAACACAGACGCAACATTTTACGACTCGCAGAAAACTCAAATATATTCTGTTTACGGGTTCAGTCAAAATTATACCCATTACAGTCAAAGTCAAAATGATGTTTCAATCCCACAACAATATTTGTATAAAAGTATTGGGCCTAGTAAAATTAATACTTCGGTTCCCAATAATGTTCAAAGTACAGATAAAATTGAAACAGTAATTGAAAAAGATAGAATAAATGAAAATAATCGCAATAACTACGAAATCTGGGACGGTAATAGTACTATTACAAAAGAAACTATTAATAATACAGTTAAAAATAATGATCTGAATAAAAATATCAATTCAAACGACTTAATAAGACAAGAGAATAACGATATATTTACTGTAAATGATAATAATAAAGAAATAGTAGACAACAGTCAATATTCTCAAAATATTGATGACTATTTTACTGAAATGCAAAATTTTCATGATAATAACGTAACCAATATGGATGTAGATGCTGAGAATGCTAACAACACATATTCGAACGTAGCTTTAGAGACTACTGAGAGAAATAATGGTGTTGAATTTAACGATGCAGATCTTCATCAATTTAAAGACGTAACTGAAAATATTTCGATGAATGCGCACGCAGACGTGATTTCGAATAGAAACAAGGACAATTTTGAACAAAACCACACAATGTTTTCTCAAAATAGAGTTTTAACAGAAAGTGTTAACACAAATATCGTTCAAAATACAGATTTCGGAGCAGATAATTCAAAAAACACAACCGAAAATGTAATTTCGGCTAATACAAACGAAAATTTCAGACCAAACGACACAAATCCTCTTGGAAATAACGATTTAGCAGAAGAATGTAAAATAAGCGAAGAAGATTATGATTCAGATGAAATAATTTCGTATAAAGTGCTCGAAGAGTTTAACAAAGTTAAGAATTTTGTTAGACGACCAAATAGGAGAATGTCCTGCGATAGTTATTCTTCTGATTCGGGCTACAGAAGCGATTCACAAAGAAGTAATCGGAGTGGTAAGTCTTACTACTTATAAACTAGAGAACTAGCTATTGCCCGCGACTTCGTCCACTTAAATTATAATTCCTATTTATCCCATGGGAGCATTTAATCCGGATAAAAAGTATCCTATCACCTAAGTTGAATGGGCCGGCTCGACCGGAGTGATACCGGCCTCACAGAAAACCGACGTGAAGCACGACGAAACACAACGCAAGCAGCTTGCGTTTTGTTTAGTCCTGTGAGTGAGGTTACCGGAGGCCCAATTACCCTCCCCTTCCCCAATCTCCCCAATCCCTGAATCCCCAACGATCCTCAAACTTCTAATCCCCAAAAAGCCGGTAACGCTTTAACTTTAACGATAACGTTTACCGGCTTATGCCATGAAAAAAATAAGCCCCTACTCTGCCTGCATATCAAATTTCATCAATATTCATTCAGTAATTTCAGCGTGATTGACGAACAAACATCCGAACAAAGTAAACTTTCATATTTATAATATTAGTGTGATATGAGAGTGTGTGTGTCTGTTTGTTTGTCCGTCTTTCATGGCAAAACAGAGCGACAAATTGGCGTGATTATTTAAACTGTCAAACACCGCGAGGACACCGGTGACCGCAACCTATTGTTCTTTAATTGTGTCTATAATGACGGCATTCAAAAGGTTAAGTGGAGATAGTTTGAAGGGATGGTGAATGGCATCTAGGCTACTTTTTGCCTCTTTTTTAACTTCCCAACTTCCCATAACTCGTTGAGTACCGTAATTATAGACACAATAAAAGAACAATAGGTTGTGGTCACCGGTGACCGCTCGGTGTTTGACAGTTTAAATGAGAGGTGGAAGTGTGGAGTATTTCGCAATATTCAAGGTAGAAAGCTAAAAATTGGTATGCGGACTATTTTTTTTTTATTCATGATTCATTTTTTTATCGTAACTAACTATTAAATGAACACAAGCGAAGCCGCGGGCGAAAGCTAGTCTTGTTGAGCATGCATGTAGAAATTGATGATGATCGTGGCATTAGCGTTCTATTTTCTCTGCCTTTTTTTTGAGGGGGGAAAATCATCCAATGACTCCTCCTGCTCGGGTGAGGCGGGAGGGAGCGTCAGACTCTTACTGACTAAAAACCATCCCGTTCCTACTCCTGCACTTCGAGCCGGAGCCCCGGTAACCCGTTAAGTATTCCGCGGCTCCGTATCTGCATTAGCCCTGTTAGGCCCAATCTGTTCTATTTTTTGTGCCTACCTTAATGGGAGACAGCCGTGACGATGTCTGTCACGATATACTTACCTATAAATGACTATTTTTATTTATTTTTAGCATTACAGCTATCAGGATCTTGGATAAACCAGTCAGGCAGTTGTTTATTCCATTATCTACTGCAGTGCCCTCTGGTGGCGTCAACAAGAGACATTACAGGCGAAATTGCACAGGTAAGGAATTTATTTTTTTATTTAGGAACAATAATCTGTCTAAATAATTATGTCTTCGGCTTACTCACGTAGTAATACGACGAGGAACTCGACTAGTTTCAAGCCATGCTAGAGGCTCATATTCATGAGCAGCATTCCCGACCCGCGACGCGGCGACTGTTGCATGGCTTGAAACTAGTCGAGTTCCTCGTCAAATTACTGCGTGAGTAAGCCGAAAACATAATAATTTATTTAGTATGTCTCACGAAAGTTACAATACAATAATCTGTGGATCACACAATGAGTTGTTCCGTGCGGGAATCGAACCCGCGACACGTTGCGTGGCAGCCAGTTGCCCAATCACCATGCCAACCGTGCAGTGAAATTCCTTGATAATCTTTTACATTAGCTTATTGACTACCTGCTTAATAGGGATGATGACGGGGTATGAAGATTAAAAACCTACTTAGTCCGTCAGTTAGGTAATGAAAAAAATATAAATACAAATACAAATATTATTTATTTCGTCAATGTAGGTATGTTACAATAGATGGTAGATAATATTATGGTAGTCCGCCACATTGTGTCTGTACAGAAATACAACATTTTTATAGTAATTGCTTAATCTAGTGTGTATATTAGACATGTATTTTTTTTATTTTGTCGTATAATAAAACAATACTTAGATAAAACGAATCAAAGTTTAGGAGTGGGAGGCAAAACATCATTTATTTAACGTCAAAACAATAAAACGATATTACAAACGTCATATCTACGTATAAAACGTACATATGCTGACTGCCGAGCAAGGGGTCTCGGGTTCGATTCCCGGGTCGGGCAAAGTATTACTGGGTTTTTCAAAATATTCACAGTACTAACACGGAGTCTGGAATTGTGCCCGGTATATGGCAATAGGCTCACCCCCTATTACATGGGACTCATAACATAAATAGTGAAAAGTGGGTGTAACATTGTACAGTGGCATAATGTACATACACCTCTGCCTACCCCTTCGGGGATAAAAAGGCGTTATGTTATGTTAAACGTACATAATAGTGACGTCACGGAATATTTCAAATCAATATATCGTCGAAAGTATTTGTTTCCATATGAAAATAAAAATACCCGTCTAATGTCATCGTTTTAAAATAATCTACCAGACGGACATTGAAATAAAAATTAGTCATCTACCCTATTATGATTTTTTATCTATCGATCATCGGGTAATACGTCGATGTATCGACAATAATTGATTTCAAAGTCATCTTATTATATTTTGTTTTATAGGTGGTAGTTCGAATACTAATAAAAGGGATAGTCACATTTAAACTAATATTATAAACTAATAAAATACTGCCTCATTGGCCGGGTGCTATCGGGCAAGGGTTCGATTCCCGGGTCGGGCAAAGTAATAATGGGTTTTTAAAAAACCTCTCAGTAGTAGCACGGAGTCTGGAAATGTGCCCGGTATATAGCAATAGGCTCACCCCCTGTTACATGGGACTCATAACATAAATAGTGAATAGTGGATATTACATTATACAGTGGCATTAAATGCCGTCATTGTGCATCTCTGCCTATACCTTCGGGGATAAACAGTCACGCTTTTTATGTTAATTTGTTTAGTATATAGTGCATACAGTTACCTTTTTTTTTTTAAGGGGGGAAAATCATCGAATGACTTCTCCCGCCTGGGTGAGGCGGAAGGGAGTGTCAGACTCTTACTGACTAAAAACCACCCCGTTCCTTCTCCTGCACGTCGAGCTGGAGCCCCGGTTACCCGTTAGGTTCTCCGCGACGCTTACCTACAATACCGTCGTTGTGTAGAAATATGAATTTAACCGTCTCTCGTGTAATCCTATGTAAATGTAGGCAGGGGTGTACATTACAGCACTTAATGTCATTGTACAATGTAACACCCACTTTTCACTATTTAATTATGTTACGAGTCCCATGTAATATTGTAATATAAACGAGTCTATTGTCATATACCGGACACAATTCCAGACTCCGTGCTACTACTGAGAATTAACTCGTCGAGTACCGGTTTTATAGACACAATTAAAGAACAATAGGTCGCGGTCACCGGTGACCGCTTGGTGTTTGACAGTTTAAAAAAAAACAGTAATACGTATACTTTTCCCGACACGGCTGTAGTACTTACTTGCGACCACTCGGAAATTGGTTAATTTCCAAGTAATCAAGTATTTATTGCATCCATAATGTACATATACAGGTGGTTAGAAAATATAATTATGTAAAATGGACCCTGTTGGGTACAGCAACATTTAAAATTGGTAGGAGAGAGGAATAACACTTTGTTAGATTAATATTAATATAATCAAAAATTAGTAATAAAAAGGTTATTGTAAATCTAATTATAATTCCATGATATTAATTTACAGGTGCTAGGTGAATTAATAGATAAATTGCATGAAGAAGAAAAATATCCGATATTTTTAGAAGAATTATTAGAAAATATAGATGTAACGTTACAACAAGTTTTTGAGGGGGTCAACAGTGAAGAAGACGAGGTAAGATCATGTTTTTTATGGTATTTTTTTAAGGGGGGAAAATCATCGAATGACTTCTCCCGCTTAGGTGAGGCGGGTGGGAGTGTCAGACTCTTACTGACTAAAAACCACCCCGTTCCTAATCCTGCACTTCGAGCCGGAGCCCCGGTAACCCGTTAGATTCTCCTCTGGATGCTTAAGTATTCTGGTTGGTAAGGTTTGAAGGTCTGTCGGTTCTGAAATGCCCTCAACTATTGATCATTGCACAGATGTACTAAAGTATTGAAAAAAAAGAATACCTACATCCTACTAAGATTATAAATGTGAATTTTTTTTCGCTTGTTTGTTATTACTTCACGTCAATACGGCTGAAGGGATTGATGTAGGTACCACCTATAAAACACCAGTTTAACAAAATCTTGGTTTGTATGATCATTACGCAGATTCGACGGTAAATCTATATTGGTTTTACATAACTTGATAACCTACCTACTTACCAATAAAAATTATCTTACTTTTTGAGAACTTAACAATTATTTCTTTTCTCTTATACTTGATAAGCCAGTAAACGATCGGACGGATCACCTGATGGTAAGCAATTGGCGTCGCCAATAGACACCCGGAACTGCAAAGGTGTAACAAGTGCTTTACCGGCCTTTTAGGTATTAGAAATTTGAGGATTGTAGGGGATTCAATGATTGGGGAGATTAGGGAGGGGGGACGGTAATTGGGCATCCGGTAATCTCACTCACACGACGAAACAACGCAAGCGTTGTTTCACGTCGGTTTTCAGCTCGTTCGTATTGTCACTCCGGTCGAGCCGGCTCATTCGTGCCGAAACATGGCTCTCACATTTATTGTCCATGCGGTATTATAACACGTTTTACTGCAAAATAAGCAATACCTACAAACATACAAACGGTTGATGCGGTGGCTGGGCAACTGGCTGCCGCGCCACGTGTCATCAATCCCCGTACGGAACAACTCTTTGTGTGATCCACAAATTGTTGTTCCGGGTCTGGGTGTCATGTGTATGTGAACTTAAGCCCAAATTTTTATTTAAGCAATAAGTTGATATGCTTTCGACACAAAATAAATTATCGTATCTAGAATCTCGCAAAAATTTCATAGAAACGTAGATATCGTGTTTTGATATTGAAATATCATAAATATAAGTACTGATTTTATTTTGATCAGTTTTCAAGTACCGTACCTACCTACTTTAATTAATTACCCATGACCTAATTAATCTTTTTTCTTTACAGTTCCTGAAAAAAGACGAGAGAATCCAAAGGATTTTGCTACTAAACAAATCTGTGCACATTCAAATACATACAATTGGAAAAATAATGAATATACTAGAAAAATTCCATGCAAATATTATAGAGACAGACTCAATTTACGAACTACAAAACATCGACGAGATAGAAAATGTTACATACATCTTCCACATACTAGAAATAGTATTAAAAAAATATTTAAAAAATAAACAAAACGATACTCAGTGTACGACACAAAATTCGCAGGAGATTTTGAAAAAAAGTAGCATCACCGACATTTGGAGGAAAAAATGGAATCCGTGTCAGAAAAAAATTGAGGGTAGTCGTGAAAAGAAGTGTGTTTTAAAAGTGCTTAGTAATGTTCTGAACAAAATTGTAGTCGACTGCATGACTTGTTACAGCTTGGTCGCCTATTCGGCGCTGAAATGTTTCAACACAATGCAAAATTAATAAAAAATCTGCATTTATTGGTTACTTTTTCATTCAAACTGGTTGTCTAACGGCCAATATCATAAATCACTCCTAAACTGACACTTAACTAAGACTTACTTAGCCTGAGGAAGCACTTAAACTTAACCCTCACTTGTATTGTTACTAGCCACCCGCCCCGGCTTCACACGGGTGCAATATGTATAATAAACCTCCTTTAAGAATCCCTCTATGTATTAAAAAAACCGCATCAGAATCCGTTGCATAAGTTTAAAGATCTAAGCATACATAACGGACAGACAGACGGCGGATAGAGACTTTGTTTTATACTATGTAGTGATAGTGATGTGTCAAAATAACAATCACCTATCTTAGGTAAGGAATCCTTCAAATTAAGGAGAGGTTTGTGAAAACAGGCATAAATTCAAAAGTGCCTTCTGACGGCAAGTCACTGACCAGGTTCGATTCCCAAATAGAGTACAGCAGTATAGGGGCTTTTTATTTCAGAAACAGCCTGGAGTCTAAAATAGTGTCCAGTGCAGTCACTGAGACTCATAACATAACTGATGGTTGTACCATAATGTATTTTAAGTACATAAGTCTAATCTCAAAATAAAAAGCAAATATAACACTAATTACAATTTTATTTATACACAAAATGAACTTACATAACTTTCTTCTCTGGCAAACCTAATAATTTCCTGACAGATACAGCATATTTTCTGACTGTTTCATCACTCTCTCCATCGTTCATCAAACTTGAGACGGCTTCTTTATAACCCTCAGCGTTGGGAATCACGGACACATCAAAGCTCCTATACTCTTCTTCAGACAATTCTTTAAAATCATTTTTTAAACGCATAAACCAGTTGACTAAACTCTTCTTCGAAGCATTATTATTCCATTCATAATACTCCATATCATCTTCTGTTTTATCCTTCTCCCACTCTTCTACGTTCCACGCTTCATGATAACACGCAGTTAACAGATAGTTCACATAATCCAAGTTCTGAGTTCTCGCCGGACACCGGTCTGCGGTAATCGTTACAAGATCGGTCTCCTTATCATATCGTTCACCGACTAAACGGATAAATTTGTCTCTTGAGTGTTTGTCTAGGCTCAAACTTGATAGCTTGAAACGGAGTGTAACGATTCTTGCTAAAGGGTTACGGATGGATGGACTTGCATGGCAGTAGTCTGATGTGATGACTTCAACTGGATAGTGCTTCTCAATTGCCTCTTCGGAGTTTAAAAGGCTTGGCCACTCGGTACAAAACTGTTTTAAGGCTTCACACTGGCTCTTGATAACAGGTGGCGTTAAATGCAGGAAATTTGGTATCTTCATCAGCTCTGCGTTTGCCTTTTTGCCTGGTGGAGCTTGGCCTTTTGGTACATAGCCCTGACGGAGTGGTAACGGTACTGATGACGGATGAAATGTCTTCGGACCGGGCCAAACGTTGCCCCATTTCTGGAATGGTAAATTTTTCAATAATTTAGTATAGTTTCACTGTTAATTTAGTTATTATTAAAATTGTAAGTATTTAGGCTACAATATGGCCTTATTACATACAAGTGAATATTTTAAATTAAACTACATGAAGATGTGGTCAGCATTTCCTATATTTTTAGTACTCCAATCAGAAGCAAACTGACAGGTTTTTCTGGGCCTGCTTTTTCTGTTTCTCTCATTCAAATTCTTATTAAAAAACTCTTTTAAATTCTCAGTAAAGATAATAATACAGTACGGAGTCTGAAAGAATTATTGTACCCGGTTTCTAGTAATATGCTCTCACATAATACTTAATATAGGTACAGAACATCGTAGGTAGGTATTACAACTGATGAAAAGGATGTATGCCTTTGATATTTTGAGGAATAAAAAGGGTTAGAAAGTACATTTTAAAAGGCGTATCTTACTATTATAAACGCGAACGTTTGTAAGTGAGTTTGTATGTATGTACGTTACTGAATCACGGCAAAACGGCTGAACGGATCAGAATAAAATTTGGAACAGGAGTTAGATTATATCCCGGAATAACATAGGCTACTTTTATCCAACGGGAACGCGGGAGAAGCTGCTGGCAGAAGTAGCTAACTAAGCTATTATACGAATAAAATCGAAAAATAATCGTTTTCACGTGAACGAAAGTTGATCAGCTGATGATGTACAAATGAATTTTTTTAATAAATTACCTGGTCTAATGCCATTCTGTCAGCCCTATCAGGTTGTATATCAGCCCTACGAACGACTCTCCTCTGCATTCTATCTTTCTTTTTCAAAATATCGAGCACTCTAAATTCTTCTTCTTCATCATCTTTTTTCATCACGCTATCGGCTGTAGTCGAATTCAAGCGCCATAATTTCACATTATACACGGTCGCCAAGCTGTTAGGCTTGTAATTCCTTATAAACAAACTCATTTTGTTTTATTTTTATGTGAAAAATATATTGGAAACTAAAATTCCATTTTGAGGTTATAAATTTCACAGATAAAAACAATGTTAGTCAAATGTTCCTATTGGTAAAAGGAATCAACGTTCCATTCCACGTGTGAGACTTTGAGCAAATAGTAAACGAGTAGTAAACTACCGACTTTACTGTCTCTCCCTTAGACGCACCCTATTTTAGGAATTTAATTAGTTTTAGAGGTTCCTATTGAGCGTAGCGTGATGTTTTATTTCATAACCTTAACCTTTCAAAATAAAATTGATTACCCTGGTCAAAAAGCTTTGTACCAGTACTTCCGGATATAAGCGCGTTTAAACATAACAAAAAACTTTTTAATTTTAGATTATGTACATAAAAGTAGTAAGAAAGATAATTTCAAGAATTAATTACTACTGTTTACATTCAATCAAAAATAAAAGTTTAAAAAATAAATACCAATCCAAAAAATATTCCTCACGCAGACACGCCGAATATGTTTATAGCATAGATTTAGTATTATATAGATGCGTCGTAATGATCTATATCTAGCTTATTTGCGTATACAAATATATATCAAATCGATACAGAAATATGAAACCACACTTTGTCTCTTTTTAACCTTTTGAGCGCCAGAGTCACAAATACGTGACAAGCGAAAACTGTCCCTGAGCGCCAACGACACAAATATGTGACAAAAACAGCGGTACATTAAAACACGAAATAAACTATTTAAACATTACTTTAATGCCTATTTATTTATATACCTGTAAAATAGAAGGTCCAAAATTTATTTATTTCCATAAAACTAATTAAATTGCATTATAAATATTGAGAAATTTTACGTTAAAAAGAAAGAAATAAACTCTGAAAACAGAATGTCCTCACACGCCAGAGTCATAACTGCGTGACCGCTAGTGATGTAGCGCATGTTGGATAATATCATTATTTCAAATCAAAGATCGATTCGAAACTTTCCTCTGGAATATATTATTTTAGGTATAATTTGGTACTAGGATAAAGCAGCATTAATTTTATAAAACCAGTCTTAAAAATCATTCAATAAGCTACATAGTCAAAAATAAAATTTGGTTGGGTCGAATTTCGATATTCACTAATCCCAACTCAAGCGCATCTCTAACGCAACCCGAATTATCAGTACCCTGTACGCCATGGTCACGACTAGACGACAATATCGTGACGTCACAAGCGCGGCGACCAGAAATTAGTGAAGTGAATGAATAATATTTATGATTAATTTACTTGTGATATCGAGTTCAAGATTTATATTAAGTGACTATTATAATGAGTGGGAATTTAATGACTACGGAAGAATTTCGTGGAATAAAGTCTGCCAAAAGTACCTTTTTTAGCCACGGTGCGCGCTGAGATCGATTTCACTGTCCCCACCACCCACTTTGCACCCAGCGAATTAGATGATCAGAATGCAGGTTGCATTGTAGATTTTGTATAATTTTGTTCTATTATTCAAAAGATTTATTAGTATAAGACTGATTGGTAATTGTGATAATTATATATAATCGTTAATTGTTTTAAACTGTCAAATACCAAGCGGTCACCGGTGACCGCGACCTATTGTTCTTTAATTGTGTCTTTAAAACCGGTACTTGACGAGTTAATTTGTTACTTTTTATGCCAGGTTTATAGAACTTAATATTTAAAAACATGTATACATAGTACATACTGTATAACATTTTATTAAAATTTTCTATTTTTTCATAGTTTTTATTTACCTTCTTAACCTATTTCAATCATATATTTTTAAGTACCTGTTACATTCGGAATTATAAATCTGATTTAAAAAACATGTTTCATTTATTATAAAATAATATTGTACTAGAACATCGATAAACGAGATATTACGTTGCCACATCCTTATTTCGGAAGCGAAGTAGTTATTAAAATGGCGGGCCGTCCACGCCATGGTCACAATATGAAGACAGCAGATCAAGAATAGTGTTGTACCTACAGTTATTATATTTAAATATATTGTAGTCTCATATCTGTTATTACGGTATTATACAAGTCTGTAAATAGTGTATAACTATTACTTTAATAGGAAGAAATGTAATGTTGAATTAAATTTCAATGTTATAAGGACATTATATTTCGAAATTAAAGACGAAAATGAAAATAAAATTGATTATCGATGAAGTTTTGGAATCCCTATTTTTTTCGTAGGTATTTGCGGTGAATTTGTGGCCTGGCGTTGAGGGCAAGTTCATGCGTTTTTGCTCTGGCGTTCAAAAGGTTAATCAATGAGTAACCTCATTTGAAGAAAGAGACGTCATGTTGTTTGTTTATTCTCTGCCTGGCAACATTTCTATATTTCTGACAAGGTACCTACCTCGCGTGCCAGCCGCCATCTTTAGGCCGTATAGTTTTGTAGTACGTCAGGTGTGAAGCGAACAACAACATTAGATTTGGATTGCGGTTTTGAACTAGGTATAAAAACGCTCCCAACTTAATTGTTTTGTGCTGTGAGTGTCTAGTGGTGCATATTTAATATGTCTACTTGTTCAATAATTCAGTGTGGGGCAAGGAAAAACCCCAATCAACCTCCATTGACTATGCACAGGTTAGTAGCCGTATTTTAAGAAAAAACTTTATCATACTATTAGTTTTCTTGTTTATCTAGCCTTGTTTTATATATAGCATAAAAGCCCCCAAATGTACATTAAATTTGTTTATGATAACTAACTTCATTTGCTAAATTTGTTTTATGTTTTGTTTACAATACAAATGACGAGTTACATTAGTGATGTATTTTATTTAATAACATATCGATAAGAAACTAACATATTTTTAGTTTGTATGTTATGGAGTCCAGTTGAGTAGAGTATCAAAATAAAGGGTCTGAAGAGACGATTTTGAAAATAAATCTTACAGAATAGAAATAAAAATAGGGATAGTACCAAAACATAATAATATCAATTCTTCATACAGTAGGTACTTTCATTTAGTTCAGTCTTTGATTTGTTCCACTAAATGTACAAAACTGAAATAATTTTTATGTTCTTTTTATTTGTACAGATTCCCTAAAAATGAAGTGCTGCGACAGAAGTGGCTTGAAGTCATTGGGACGGGAAATATCAAACCTGGACTTAAAGCGCCACGTATTTGTTCATTACACTTTGCAGTATCATCATTCAATAGAACCCTTGATGTTATAAGGCTGCGTAATGATGCAGTACCGTCAATCCGCCTTGTAGTAAGTGAAATGATCAACATTATATTGTTTTTAATTAACTGGTAATTAACCGGACCGAGCTCAATCGTCAACCATGATCCATGCGCTTCAATTCTAACCTTAAAAAAAGCATCCAAAGTACCAGAAGATTTTTAATGTATAAAACTCTGCTATCGATATCGATACTTTTTGGTTTTGACTACAGTACCCTACTACTTCCCTAGCAATGGCAGCCATTTTTAGGCCTCGGTTTCTAGTAGGTATGCACGCGTATTTTGTAGGTATTTCTGGTCCATATTATAGTAGGTCTGTGGTTTATAGGTATTCCCATTCCCAGATTTATTTTCTTGACTGTTCAGTCAAGTAAATAAATCTTTAGTGTTTAAATATGTAACTATTTCAGAGCGTCATATTTTTTTACTTTGACTTGATCAGAATTAAGAATGCATGAGTTAACAACTTAACGATTTAGTTATTATTATAATTTTTCATTTCAACCCTACCTTCAATAAATGCCAACTACAAAATGTAATAAATGTGTTAAAAGGATATTATACTTTTGCAAAGATTTAAAATGCCTCATTTACCATTGAACTGTATTAAACAATTTCTATTTTAGCCAAGTTGTGTTGTAATTTTAATAAACGATCCAAATATTACCATAACCTTTTTATGTTAAATGGAACGTTTCATTCATAGATAATATTATTGTCGCCGACTACCCAACATGCTTGCAATTACAGACATTCAAACAATGAAATACGGAGCCCACATTTCAAGTGGCGCTAGTGTCTACGTGTAACGGTACAAGTGAAAAAGAGAGATCCGATTAGTTCCATTCTTTTGTTACTAGTATTTTTCCTGGCTAGGTTAACGTTTTGCTTGAAAGTTAAATCTGCGAGTCTCGTTCGTTGTCCATAGCTTGTGTACCTACAAAGAATTTTAACAGTCTATAGAACAAATTCAGTTGTATTTTTCTTGCGTGTGGAATGTTTATTGCGTAAAAATGTCCAATTCTGCAAGAAAAAGGTGTAGAAAGTCTAAATTAGTGCCGAGAGAATGTGCCGAGGAAGAAGAAATTAATTTGCAGGTAGGAAACTTATAGTATAGGTACCACCATTTTGACAAAAGTTTTCATGACTATCCTAAGTTGATTTGCAAGTTTGCGTGGTATTTAATTCAAGGTTTTAATTAAAAACTCTTGTAGATACTAATTGAATGTTGTTTACAAATAAAAGACGTATAATTTTACTTATATTTGCGGTTAGATTTTGTAGCAGAAAATATGGGGGTAGGTAATTTGTTTAGGCGATTACTATTTTACCAATACCTTATATAAGATTTATATTTGTGAATTAAGTAATATTAACATGAGTGTCAATGAGAAATAACGCTACAAAAGCAATTTAAAAACTGCGTATTTTGAAAAGCGGGTGGTACCTACATAATATTGTTTTAATTTTTCATAACGCGTGGTGATAATACTGTAATGTGTTATTATGGTACCTAGTAAAATGATTCTTAGTTCGAATTTGATTTAATTATATTAAATAGCGTTTTAATGACTCAAATAAGCAAATTATCAATAATGAATGCATACTTAATATGTATTTTAAAATGCCTAGAAATAAATACTTAATGAATTATTTTCTGTGATTAGTAGGTATTCATTTGATAAATAAAATACTTTATGCTGCAAAGAATTAAATTACCATTGCACTGTTTTGTAACCAAAGAGGTAAGCTTAGATGCATATAATGGCTGATAATGCCAAATAAACAATGTAACACTCAACACCAATTAGGTATATTGAGTCCCATGTAATAGGACTGAATGATAACAATTAACAATGACATTACTTAAATTAGTTTTCATACATTTAATGACCTCTTTCCATACTTTGTTACTTCATATTTGTATGCCACCTGGTAAAATATAGCTGAGCTTGCAATGTACTTAAATAAACAGCACATGAAATTGTATTAGACAACCATGCATGAAAAGAATGAGTGTTGATGAAGCGAAAGAGGTATGTAGGAATCATAGTAATTGGTGTTCCCTAGTCTCTGCTTGACCCCATGGGAGACAGGCGTGAAGTTATGTATGTATGTTTGCATGTATGAAATTGTATCACCTATATTTGCAAATGAACCATCTTTATCTATAAAAGATAGATTGTAAATGCATGGTTCTCTCACTTTTTCTATTTGTTTCGACTTCAGAAGATAATGACCTTGTTTTTGAGTTCAAAAGCCTGCGTCAAAATGTCTGGATAGCCGTTATCATATAAAGTATACACAGGGTGGAATTTTGTAATGCCACCTGAAGGGGAAGTACTCTTAATACTTTAGATAGAAAATTTTACTCAAAGAAAACATTCCTTTATTTTTGAAAAGAAAGAAAACTGCATTCAATGATTTTTTTAAATTATCTTGCCTTACATGGTAATCGAACTGACTAAAATCTGTAAAAGTTGCACCATTTACATTCATTGCATCTATTTATTAGGGTCAATATGGATGAAATCTCTCTAAAAAACTTCATAAATTTAATAAAAGCATGACATTGAACAAATGATGCTATAAAAGTACAGACAGGGTGCAACTTTTACAGCTTTTAGTCTGTTCGATTACTGTGTGAGGCAAGCTAATTTTTAAAAATCTTTGAATGCAGTTTTGTTTCTTTTCAAAAATAAAGGAATGTTTTCTTTGAATAAAATTTTCTATAAAGTATTAAGAGTACTTCCGCTCCAGTTGGCATTACAAAATTCCACCCTGTGAATTGTGATAAATTTGTTTGAATATGTACCATATAACTTAATTGGGACTTAAGGAAAGTGGTGAAACAGGCCCTTTGTGTTGCTTCTTGGGGACGGGAAATGCAGGACTCATCTATCTAATTCATGAATAGACAAAAGACTTCAGACTTATAACAAGCGCCTAGCTTCACTGACAGATAGACAATTGGACAATTCAATTTTAACATTTTAAAAGTGCCCAATTAAATACTAATTGAAATAAATTCTTTGACTTTGACTAATTTAGATTTTTTTTTTTTACAGTCACCGTTAAAAAAGCTTTTCATACCTGTAAAGAATGTAAAGACGAAGAGGAAGAAAACTGAAACAAAGGTTGAGAAGAAAAATGATATAAAAAGCGTTTTGAAAAAAATTAATGCAGCTGCAAAACAAGATTCCGAGGAAGCCAAAGCTCTCGAAGAACCTGCAAGAAAATTTGAAGTCGATATTCAAATTGAAACATGCGATGAAGATATGAATCCGGATGGCACGTTGGAAGAAAACAAGTCTATTCTACGACACCACTTACCTAATTTGGATATGTCTCCGTTCCCCTCCATAGAACTTAAGATTGATGACATATTAAAAGTCACTGATGATATTAACCAAACTGCTACTAATAATGCCGACAAGTCTTTAAGTTTGTATGTGAAAAACACCATCGGTTCAACAATACAAAATGCAAGTCCTCGTTCCGATCATGAGGAAGGAATCCTGAAAGCTCTAGAAGAATGGAAATTGTGGTCAAACCATGCAAAATATGTGAACCGCACACGTCCAGTGTTTTACAAATGTTATATTTGCAAAGTAGCTTGGTGGCATCTGTCTGACTTTAGGGATCACATTGCCCAACATGAAAAGGTCATTGTTACCTTTGAACAAACTAACCATGAATCCAATATCGTTGCTTCCTACAGTAAATTTACTTTTGAAAACATATTTGCTGAGGGAAATTGTTCCTTATGTGGTAGAGATTATCATTATCACAAAGTACAAACATATGATTTTAACAATATAGTATTTGGTCAATATGTATCAAGGAGGTGTCAGAGAACATTTTTCAATTGTTATTCCGCTATGATTCATGCTAATAACTGTGAATTTTGTGACGTTGGGGATAATGAATGTCAGGTTTGTTCAGTCAAGTTTGAAAAACTCATAGACTTAGAGGAGCATTTGGTGCTGTGTCATTCGGTGAGGTCCGATGAGCCTGCTGCAGTGATTGGAGGCAAGACATGCAAGTGTTCAAAGCGGTTCATTTCCAAAGTTCATCATGTTTGTGTGAATAAGGACCCTGTATTTCAGTGTTTCGACTGCTTTGAAGGGTTTTACAATAAAATTATGATCAAAAAACATTCGGCAATGTCTAAACAGAACTTTACATGTGATATATGTAATGAAAGTTTGAATAAGTATTGCAAAAAGTATATTCATTTGATGAAACACACGGATCAATTTATGATGGTTGCTAAGTGTATGCAATGTCCTGACTTCAATTTGTTTGTCGATGAAGAGGATGCTTTTCAACATAAACGGTCGAAGCATGGGCAGGATTCGAAAAGGAACCTGTATTTTCCTAAGGTAAGATTTCTTTTATGATAAACTAGCTTTTACCCGCGGCTTCGCTCGCGTCACAAAAGGGTAAATAGTAGCCTATGTGACATATACCAAGACATACAGCGCCATCTATACCAATACTTTTGTTTTTCCTCGGGAATATAATTTTTTTCCGGGTTAAAAGTACCCTATTATTTAATCCGGACTTCTAACTTTACGTCTGCAAAAATTCAAAGCAATCGGTTGAGTAGTTACGACGTGAAGGTGGAACAAACAAACAAACAAACTCACTTTCAGATTTATAATATTAGTAAGGATAAGGATGATAAACAAGGAAACGAATCACCTGATGGTAAGCAATTGGCGTCGCCCATGGACAGCTGGAACACCAGAGACGTTACAAGTGCGTTACCGGCCTTTTGGGGATTAGGAAATTGAGGATTGTTGGGGACTGGGAAGGGTAGTCTAATAATTTTATATCTTAGTACCTATGTACTATACTAAAGCTAAAGAATTTGTTTGCTTGTTTGTTTGTTTGTTTGAGGCGTCATTCTCCGGAACTGCTGGGCTTATTTGAAACATTATTTTTGTGTTGGATAGTCCATTTATCGAGGAAGGCTATAGGCTATGAAACATTACGCTACGATCAATAGGAGCTGAGCAGCGAGTGAAAACGTGCTGGAGTACCTAACCAATATTTATCAAGCTGGCGTTTGTCCACTATCTCGCCTGGTGGTAAACGCTGATGCGGCCTACGCTGGAGCACGTCTACAAACCATCCTATTCACTCGAGGCTAGGAGACACCCAAGTTTTACAAGTTTTAAAATGATATTTTATTTTGTTTTCAGATACTCGTACCAACTTCCTGCATTGTCGACAGTTTGAGAACTGAACTGGGAAATGTTGTAAAAAAGGAAAAATCTGATAACCAAGATAATACTATAGATAACCAGGAAGAAACCATGGCAGACATAAAAATTGAAAGTGATTTTGTTAAAGGTAAGATTTATATAGCCTATGTATGTGACATATACCAATACACACAGCACCATCTATACCAATAATTTCCTTTTCCCTCGAGAATATCAATTTTTTTCGGGATAAAAAGTACTCTATTATTTAATCCAGACTTCTAACTTCACTTCAAAATTCAAAGCAATCGGTTTAGTAGTTACGGCGTGAAAGTGGAACAAACAAACAAACTCACTTTCCGATTTATAATATTAGTAAGGATAGGTACTTTTTAATATTATAAAGCTGAAGTCTATTACGGAACTACTGGTACAATTTGAATAGTTCTTTTATTTCATTCATGGATAAGCACTTATCGATGACTAGCGACTCGCCCCGGCTTCGCACGGGTGCAATATGCATGTACCTATTACTTATACATATAAACCTACCAACCCGCATTGAGCAAGCGTGGTGATTAATGCTTGAACCTTCTCCGTGTGAAAATAGGCTTTGCTAAGCAGTGGGCATTTAATTTTATAGGCTGTTGATGATGATACATATAAACCATACATATATATCTGTGGAGCTCATTTTATAGACAGCTGTAAACCACTGTTTCAAAAATTAAATATCCTACCTTTACCATGTCTATACATTTTTGAAATATGTACTTTTGTAAAAAGAAATTACATTCTATTTGAAACTCTGGAAGACAGACCAAATAGCCGAACACGGCATAAAGACAGACTTCGTTTACCACGAATAAAATTAAAATTATTTAAGAAAAATGTATATTGTATGTCCATAATCATTTATAATAAATTACCAAATAGTTTACAAGAATTACCATTGACATTATTTAAGAAAATGCTTTTTAAACTTTTGCTATCCAAGTGTTACTATAGTATTAAGGACTATTTAGAAGATAAGACGATAGAATCTTGATAGTGTAATTTTAATAATAAATTTGCACGCCATATACGGCAGGATACGCTGGAAAAAAAAAATTACTGTAACACCTTTTGTACCGTATTTTAGCAAATAAACATTTTTGATTTGATTTGATTTGAACCTTCCTTAGGAATCACTCTATCTATTTAAAAAAAACCGCATCAAAATCCGTTGCGTAGTTTTAAAGATCTAAGCATACATAGGGATAGACAGACGGCGGATAGCGACTTTGTTTTATACTATGTAGTGATAATCAAACCAGAACTTATAATAATAAGTAAAGGTCTGGTAATGGCTAAAGTCTGGTAGATTATTTCTTATATTATCTTTTAGGAAATCACGCTAAGATAGCATTATCACGCATCTTAGCGTGATGTCTTTGATGTTGATGATCTATGAGTGATGTATTTGATGATGTGATGAAGAGCCAAGCAGTACTGGTGTCTGGAACTACTGGTTTGATTTGGATTTTTTGTTTTGGATAGTCCATCTATTGAGGACGGCACTTCCACAAACCTTCCTCAATAGATGGACTACCTGAAGCCATCCTCATTAGATGGACCTACAAGCCTTCCTCAATAGATGGACTACCTGAAGCCATCCTCAATAGATGGACCTACAAGCCTTCCTCAATAGATGGACTACCTGAAGCCATCCTCAATACATGGACCTACAAGCCTTCCTCAATAGATGGACTACCTGAAGCCATCCTCATTAGATGGACCTACAAGCCTTCCTCAATAGATGGACTACCTGAAGCCATCCTCATTAGATGGACCTACAAGCCTTCCTCAATAGATGGACTACCTGAAGCCATCCTCAATAGATGGACCTACAAGCCTTCCTCAATAGATGGACTACCTGAAGCCATCCTCATTAGATGGACCTACAAGCCTTCCTCAATAGATGGACTACCTGAAGCCATCCTCATTAGATGGACCTACAAGCCTTCCTCAATAGATGGACTACCTGAAGCCATCCTCAATAGATGGACTACCCAAACCAAAAAATCCAAATCAAACCAGTAGTTCCGATCATTAGCACTGCTCGGCTCCTCCTCAGGTTATACCTTTAACAGACACCAGTCTCTTAATTGTAACATATTATATAATTTGTATCCGTAGAGTACTTTTGAGAAAATAAAGATTTTTATTATTACATACATACATACATAACATCACGCCTTTTATCCCCGAAGGGGTAGGCAGAGGTGCACATTAAACCACTGTACTTTGTAACACCCACTTTTCACTATTTATGTTATGAGTCCCATGTAATAGGGGGTGAGCCTATTGCCATATACCGGGCACAATTCCAGACTCCGTGCTACTACTGAGAATATTTGAAAACCCAGTAATACTTTTGCCCGACCCGGGAATCGAACCCGAGACCCCTTGCCCGGCAGTCGCACTTACGACCACTCGGCCAACGAGGCAGTCTTTTTATTATTATTATATTATTATTATCATCACATAATCAAATACATCACTCATAGATCATCATCATCAAAGACAGGGTCTATAATCATCCACCCTGTGATCAGCAGCTGAAACAGTTGAGGAAACTGTTGGAGCGGCTAATGGGAAACATACCAAAACCTTTCAGTTAAGATTTTTGTGAGATGACACATTTATTTATTTATTTAGAAAATGTACATATACAACACCACAGCTTACGCCATTAAGTTATACTGTTAATCTTATATAAATGATACTAGCTTTTACCCGCGGCTTCGCTCGCGTCACAAAAGGATTAAACGTAGCCTATGTGACTATCCAATCCATCCCTTCAACTACCTTCGGTTAAAAAATCACATTAATTAGTACCTCCGTTCTGTCGTTTAAGACAGGCAAACAAACAAATAGTTTTCCACTCGCATGGAATTCGGTTATATCGCGCTATTTAGATTTTTCCAATAAGTAGGTAATTCGTTGACTGGTTTTAAATGACATATAGCGCCATCTATATCAATACACACAGCGCCATACCATACCAATAACGGTACTCCCATATACCAATAACTATAATACCAATAACTGTAATACAAAACGGTGGCTCCCCGTCCGACCAGAAACAGACCCGAGCGTACGGCGCGTCGTGTTCCGCGCTCGCCTCAAAGAGCCATCAGACCACCACAGATGGGGCTCAATAGGGCCGATGCCGATTCGGAGTCGCGGAGAACCTAACGGGTAACCGGGGCTCCGGCTCGACGTGCAGGAGAAGGAACGGGGTGGTTTTTAGTCAGTAAGAGTCTGACACTCCCTTCCGCCTCACCCAGGCGGGAGCAGTCATTTGATGATTTTCCCCCCTTAAAAAAAAAAACAATATTTTTGTTTTCCCTCGGAAATATTAATTTTTTTCGGGATAAAAAGTACCCTATTATTTAATCCGGACTTCTAACTTTACGTCTGCAAAATTTCAAAGCAATCGGTTTAGTAGTTACGGCGTGAAAGCAGAACAAACAAACAAACTCACTTTCCTATTTATAATATAAGTAAGGATTATTTAGGTACTTAAAACCAAACTAATTAGGTAATCAAATACAAGAAATAAAAATTAATACAATTCAGGAACAAAATTAACAAAAAGCAAAAAAAAAAACTATACATTGAAAACAAATTTGGTAATTAGAGTAATTATTGTAACTTGACACAAACATTAACATTATAATTAGCTACGTATCATCCATCCTCTCACAAAATCTTAAACATTCACGACACACATCTATCGATCTCATTGCAAATAAATCACACTCTGGTGCTGACATCAGGAGAGAATTGAGCATGGTGAGTACACATATTATAATGTAAGTTTCTCTATTTTCCAGAAGAACCAGAAGAACCAGAAAACGAAGAAGACGATGAAGAATGTAATTTAGTTATCAAAGAAGAACCATTAGAATTAAATGAACCGTACAATGAAATGTATGAAGAATCAATCACAGAAAATGAAATATCAATAAAAGAAGAAAATTTTGATGTTGATGAAGAAGATGATTATCAAGGCGACATTATTAAAATAGACGTCAAGTGTGAAGCCACAGATCAATTTGGTGTAAAAGAAACTGTAACCGATGATAATCTGACAGAAAAGTTGTGTACCAATGGCTCGGACAATGAAACCTTCAGTCCAGTTTTAGTCGGTGGTAGAATGAAAAACAGAATCTACAAATGCAACAAATGTGGCTACCAAGCAAGGCACAAGAAATTTAAAGAGCATGTAGAAAGTTCCTGCGGAAACTCGACATATAACAAAAATTCTTATAATTGCTCGGAGTGTGAAACTGTGTTTCCGTCTCTTGGCACATACTTGCTTCATTTCACGAAGCACGGCCTAAAAGAAATGGCTTGTCCGGAATGCCTAAGACAATTCAAAACTCTTACCCAATTAGGACAGCATATATATACACATATAAAACAGAATTTTGTTCGTGTCAAATTGATATCTCATGAAAGTTATTATAAATTGGATTTTCAATGTAAGCAGTGTAGCGACATTGTGCATTTGGATCAGTTCTTTGATCATTGGCAAATTCATCTTGGTCATAATCGGGAAAATAAACTAAGGAGTATAGAGGAGATCCGACAAGATTTGAATCCGGATGGAAGTACTGCCCATGAACCATTACCGGGATGCCTGCCTGAAGCTGTTGTTAAAGAGTGCTTGCGTAAGTAATCAATTTATACTGATCTTATGGCTTATACTATTACTAGCCACCCGCCCTGGCTTCGCACGGGTACAATGCTTGTGTAAATAACAGAGATGTGAATTATTTAAGACTAGCTTTTACCAGCGGCTTCGGTCCTGTCACAAAAGGATAAAAAGTAGCCTATGTGACATATACCAATACACACAGCGCCATCTATACCAATACTTTTGTTTTTCCTCGGGAATATCAAATTTTTCCGGGTTAAAAAGTACCCTATTATTTAATCCGGACTTCTAACTTTACGTCTGCAAAAATTCAAAGCAATCGGTTTAGTAGTTACGGCGTGAAAGCGGAACAAACAAACTCACTTTCCGATTTATAATATTAAGTAAGGATGAAGGCAAGTACCCAATTATTGAAGACTAGCTACTTCCGCGTGGTTTCACACGCTCTGCTCAGCTCCTATTGGTCGTAGCGTGATGTTTTTTTTTTTTTTTTTTTATTTATTCATGAACAATTATTACATTGTGTTTGAATTTGTACAATACACCTATATTCTAAAAATTATACATGCAATAATTAGCCGTTACAATTAATAAAGTTAAATGTCATTCCCTGTACTTGTCAATTCATAATTAATTATAACAAGATAAAACAATAATACACAAAATATAATAAAATATAGTCATGTCATCCATAAAATACCAAAAAAAAAACACACAACAACAATTCCAATAAATTAAGTTATAATTCGTCAACATGATAAAGACACTTATTTAACAAGAACTGTCTAAGCTTATTCCGAAACTCGCCTTTATAAATAAGACCTTTTATTTCCGTTGGCAGTTTATTAAACAGCTTTAACGACTTGTGGTAGGAACTATGCTTTGCAACGTTTAGGTGAGTCACTTGCTTCAACTGAAGATCTTTCCTTCTTGTGCTCTCCCTTCTTTGTCTTTCATCCTCAGTCTCATATTCAAAGATGTACCTAGACAAATGGGTAAGCAGGACCAAAATGTATAAACTTGGGACTGTCAGTATATTCAATTCATTGAAATGAGGCTTACATGATTCTTGCTGCTGTATTCCAACCATAGTCCTGACTGCCCTTTTTTGTATTACAAATGCTTTCTGTATATTGTAGTCATAGCTTCCACCCCAGAAAAGTATGCTGTATCTTAGCCTTGACTCCACCAATGCGTAATACACCATTTTTAAATATTTTATTGTCACATCGTTTCTGAGACTTCTAAGCACGTAACAGGCAGGGCTAATCACTTTCTCAAGGTATTTTAGCTCCTCCTTCCACCTCAACTGGCTATCAATATAAACTCCCAGAAACTTAACCACCTCTACCACGTTTACTTTTTCTCCATTAATGGCACAGTTAATGCTATCCTTATTTTTGGAAGTAGATCGAAACAGCATGACATTAGTTTTACTGGCATTAATTTTGAGACCGTTGACAGCAAACCAACTGTGGAAGATATCTAAGACTTGATTAACAATGCAATCAAGAGTGCGTATACTGTCAGCCGAAACAACAGCGTTAGTATCATCGGCAAACACCACAAGCTGTATAGATCCTGCAGCATTCTGCATCATATGTTGTATCAGGTCATCAACAAACATGATAAAGAATATCGGACCCAGTATGGAGCCCTGTGGTACGCCAGTGTGCACAGGTGCCAATTTAGATTTGTATGTTTCTTCAGTTAGACAGTTATTGCCTGAGGAATTTGTCCCTAACATCTCTGCTTTGATCTCTACGAACATCTTCCTGTTCTTTAAGTATGATGAAAGAAGAGCCAGCACCTTACCCCTGACACCGTAGTGTTCAAGTTTTTCTAGCAATAGTTTATGATCCACTGTATCAAATGCTGAACTTAAATCTAAGAAAAGCCCAGCTACTTTCTGTTTATTATCTAATCTACTCACTACGTCCTTAATCAGAGTCGATATTGCGTCTTGTGTCCCGACGTTTTTCTGATAACCAAATTGTTTTCTATTTATCACCCCATTTTGGTAGAAATGTTTAAGTAATCTAGACTTAATTAGCTTTTCAAAAATTTTTGAGTGAGTAGGTAGTAATGAGATTGGTCTGTACATCTTTGGATCCGCTTTAGAACCTTTTTTGTGTACAGGTATTATTTTGGCTATCTTCAGTTGATCTGGAAAAATTCCTTCATCAAAACATTTGTTGTAAAAAATGCTTAACGGTACCGCCAGTATATATATATTATCCTTTATTACTGATATTTTTATGTCATCATAGCCGCAAGATATTTTTCGCATATTTTTCGTTATTTTAAATATCTCACGGGGAGTGACAGGGTCAAAGATCAGGTCATTAGTTACTCTTTTTGCACTCCTATGCAGAATATCCATGGCAGCTCCTGTGCTTGCGGTGGCTGATGAATTAATTTGGAACTGTTGAGACAAGATATTTACAATATCTGATGGTTCTGACACGATTTTATTGTTGGATTTTAAGATAATTTTTTTATTGTTCTTTACATTCTTATTCCTATGCTTGTTTACCACTTTCCAAATATCCCTTGAAATGTTCGTCGACTTTGATAATTCATATTGTACTGATAACTTTTTGGCCATATTTATCACTTTTCTGTACAGAACTATGTATTTTTGTCGATAGTCCATCACAGTGTCACTTTGCCCATTCCCTTTGCCAGTACATAGAAATCGTTTCATCTTGCTTGAAACCTTCACACCCTTTGTGACCCAACGTAGTTGCGCTTTACGCGTTAAGCGCACCTGCATTTTTCTTTTCTTAAAACAGCGTGTAAACATTTCTTCGAATTGTTTCAAAAAAGAGTTTATTCCGAAATCACTCCAGTCATGATTTAGTAGCAAATTTCTAAAGTTATTTCTTGTATTTACACTGAAAATACGCTTGGTTATTTGAATATTACTAGTCTTTTATAGCCTATAGCCATCCTCGATAAATGCACTATCGACCACAAAAAGAAATATTCAAATCAGTCTTTTAGTTACAGAGATTAGCGCGTTCAAACAAACAAACAAACTCTTACGCTTTATGTCTTTTATTCTAATTACTAGCTTTTACCCGCGGCTCCACTCGCATCACAAAAGGATAAAAAGTAGCCTATGTGACATATACCAATACACACAGCGCCATCTATACCAATACTTTTGTTTTTCCTCGGGAATATCAAATTTTTCCGGGTTAAAAAGTACCCTATTATTTAATCCGGACTTCTAACTTTACGTCTGCAAAAATTCAAAGCAATCGGTTTAGTAGTTACGGCGTGAAAGCGAAACAAACATACAAACAAACAAACAAACTCACTTTCCGATTTATAATATTAGTAAGATAAGGATTGAAGAATGTCCTGTTAAACGACACGTATTAAATCTTTGAACATTATGAGTCCTTAAAATAATATAAATTTTCTTTTTTCAGAATACATAATGATGAAAGTGCCAAAAGAATGCAACTATTGCCACAGGAAATTTACCAGAGTCTATGGTTGTAAGATACATATAATAGAGCATTTGCTGGGCGACGCTTATGCACAGAAACCGGTGTTTGGAGCCCTGAGATGTCAGATTTGTGCCTCTGCGTTCCCATCTCCGGAGAAGTATAAGCAACACATGAGAGACCATGCTTCTTTACCTGTGTATAAATGTGAATTGTGTGACAGAACATTTAGTGATTCGAGTAATTTTACTAAACATAAAAAAGTGCATAATTATAAAGTTCTTGTGTGTGATCTGTGCGGGAAGAAATTTCAAGCGAAGGCGTCCCTTATTAAACATTTAGTGGTAAGCATTTTTTTTTTTGCTTTTATTATTATTGTAATTTATTTATCCATTTAACAATTTACATTGTGTCTGAAATTTAATATAGGTACAAAAAAAACAGTGTTTTCTTGGAAAAGTTGGTTTGCATCTGATGGTGAGCAATCTGTTCCACATATAGACTTCTGGTACATTAGTGGAGTTTCAAGTGCGTTGCTAGTTTTTTGGGATTAGAGATTTTTTTATACATATGATAAGCCGGTAAACAAGCATACGGATCACCTGATGGTAAGCAATCGGTTTTGCCCATGGACCTGTGCCTTTAGCTAAACACCACTTTAGCGCTTGTCTACAGAGAGAGTAGAAATCAAAATGTATGAGGATGACACTGACAAGTGTCAAAATTTACGTCAATTCCATATAATCTAGTTCTCTACTCTACAAGTAGACAAACGCTACATGGCATTTGGCTACAGCTGCTGCAACACAAGAGACGTTACAAGTGGGTTACCGGCCTTTTAGGGATTGGGAATTTGAGGATTGTGGATGATTCGGGGTTTAGGGAGACTGGGTATGGAGGGGGTAATTGGGTCTCCTGTAACTTTACTCAGTGACTCACAAGTATGCTTGTTTCACGCCAAATTCCATTGAGGTCGTGGTATCACTCCGGTCGAGCCGACCCCCCACTTTAAACGTTTTAAGTAGTTGAAACGAGCGCTGTGATTGGTCGATTCATTGGAGCCGGCCAATCAGGGTGCTTACACTTGAAACCAATCTCAATGCCAATGCAATTTCAATCCAATAAAATCTCAATAATTATTCAATGTCAAAACTATACAACCCATATCGTAGCTGTTACAATAGTATTCAGAGTACGGAATATAAAGCTAAAGTCAATACCATTTTGTTCATTCAATATCCACGCAATACGGATGCAATGGGCGCTAGTGTTGCAACTCGAGAGTACGAAATTTCACAATACCAATGTCGATCGATCGGAATTGGATTCAAGAGTGAGTCCCCAGAGCGGCGAACGCGCTCTCGAACTCGTACAAAGCCTTTAATTTGTTTGTTCATTGAAGCAGGCCAATACTAAGACCTCTGTTATAGATAAGTATCTAAAAAATACCTTTCCTCTTTTACAGAAACACGAAATTTCCACACCGATCACCTGCAATCTGTGCAACAGAATATTTTACTTCGAATCTTCATACCGGCGACATGTGAGGTATGCACACGACAAAGTAACATTCGGATTTCGATGTGTAATATGCAATGAAAGATTTGACAGCCTAAAATACAAATGGGATCATATGTGGCAAGTGCACAAAGAAAGAAGCCAGAAAGCAGATTGTCCTATATGCTTAGAATCGTTCAGAAAATATGCCGATGTCAAATTTCATGCAAGAATGATTCATGGTATAGAAGTCTCCGTACTCAGTATGAAGAATGCTGCCAGCGAGGCAGCGAATTTGGACACTTATTTTAAAGCACCTAGGATAAGGTTAGGGGACAACGAAACATTAGTTGTTTATGAATCTGAATGACAGTAGGATGATCATAGGGGTCCCCCCAATGACTTAGCGATCATTATCATATCAGATATAAGACACCCATTGCTGAACACAGGCTATTATTAATGTCTTGATCATCATATTATTATGTCCATTGCTGAATATAGGTACTCCACAATCTATATATACTTACTTTTTTTAATATATAGGAAAGTTTGTCCGTTTGTACGCCCTAATCTCAGCAACTACTGGTTCGATTTGAATAATTATTTTTGTATTGGATAGTTTATTTATCGAGGAAAGCTATAAACACCTGGACAACATCGCCCGGAGTGTCCTTCGCGATGGCTGGGTTGCGACGCGTCCCGCCTCCTCCTTAGCTAGCATGATTGCTTCGCAAAAGGAGGAGACGGCATCCCAGTCCCCCTCGCTCCGCATCATGGCCTGCACTAGGCCCGGACGCGAGAGGCCCCCATCGCCGATCACTTCCCTGAAGGAACGGCGGTGCTCAGCCCACGCAGGGCATTCCGCTACAGTGTGTTCCACCGTGTCCTCAGGGCGGTCCTCCCCGTGATGATACCCGGGCGTTTCCTCCCGCCCCAGGCTCCAGACACAGGTACCTCCCGAAACTTCCATGTCCGGTGAAGACCTGCGTCAGGCGTAGCGTCTCTCAAGCCACTCCTCAAAGAGGGGACTTACCGCTGCAATGGCAGCGAGCCCAATGACACATTACGTTGCGATCAATAGGAGCTGAGCATGAGATAAAATATCGCGGCAGTACTAGTGACTTATATCCCCAAGCGGGCACCGGTGACCGCTCTCCACTAACTACATTACAGACCTTATTTCCGATGTTTAGAGACTACTTTTGTATGAACAAATATAGGGGATGATTTTCAACAATTTCGAAACGCTGACTAAAAGAAATTAGTGTAGGTACTAAAATGTGTAATAGTTTCTAACCCGGGTGTTTATTATTACATTTTACAGTAAAACTATTGAATAAATTGCACTTAAATAATGTCGACAATACTATTTTAATTTTTGGTTTTATTTGTATTTGCAAAGAAAATTGTAATGTTTACTAAGACTGCCTCGTTGGCCGAGTGGTCGCAAGTGCGACTGCCGGGCAAGGGGTCTCGGGTTCGATTCCCGGGTCGGGCAAAGTATTACTGGGTTTTTAAAAAAAAATTCTCAGTAGTAGCACGGAGTCTGGAACTGTGCCCGGTATATGGCAATAGGCTCACCCCCTATTACATGGGACTCATAACATAAATAGTGAAAAGTGGGTGTTACATTGTACAGTGGCATAATGTGCACCTCTGCCTATCCCTTCGGGGATAAAAGGCGTGATGTTATGTTGTTATTATTTGACAGTTTCCGCAAATGTTGTAAGCGCTACGCGTCGCCACTGTCGTGCACATAGCCAATAGTCCACTGCTGAAAGTAGGCAAGTTTCAGGTTTATCAGAGAGCGCTGCTGCCCAATCTCTTGTCATGTGTAGTCTCTTAGTCGGGTATAGAACACCCACCGAAAGAATTGTGTTGGTCAACTGGTTATAAGTTTGATGTATTTCGCCATTACCACATGTACGTGGTATGATTGTTTAAACTGCTCGAGCTAGCAGATTCGATTCCATTTTTTTTGTAGTTTTAGGTTATATTTTTGTAAAAATGAAATTATTTTTTTTTATTTTTGTAGCTATGTTTTTTTCTACATTATGTATTATTTGATTTGTTTTGGTCATATGCACCTCTGCCTACCCCTTTGGGGATAAAAGGCGTGATGTAATGATGTGTTATGTATTATATTTACTTCCTTGGTTAATGACTGTCTCCGGTTCGACTTCCCAGTAAATAATATAATAGACTTTTCATTTAACGAATATTTTTGTATTTACTATGGAATTTATGAATTTTGTGTAGACTATTAAGAGAAAATGAGAGCCATATACAGCATACAGCATGACATCTTTCTTGAATAAGTTCTGTCAAAACTATGTATTGTGTTATGAATGCATGGCTAGACATCAAGTTATGCAAAACCAGTTTATATTGATAGTCAATGGGGATGATGACAGGGTATGAAAATTAAAAATATAATTAGTCCGTAAGTTAGGTAATGAAAAAATATTAGACACGTATTTTTTTATTTTGTCGTATAATAAAACAATACTTAGATAAAACGAATCAAAGTTCAGGAGTGGGGGCTAAAACGTCATTTCTTAGTATAAAATGTACTGAGAAGTGACGTCACGCGACATTTCAAATCAATATATCTTCGAAACTATTCGTTTCTGTGAGAAAATAAAAAATACGTGTCTAATGTTTTTAAATAATCTACCAGACGGACATTAAAATAAAAATTAGTCGTCTACCCTATTGTGCGAAATGATCATACATACAAAGGGTTAGAAAACCGACGTGAAAATACGCTGGCGTTATGTTTCGTCGTGTGAGTGAGGTTACCGGAGGCCCAATAGGGTAGATGCCTAATTTTTATTTCAATGTCCGTCTGGTAGATTATTTTAAATCAATACACACGTATTTTTTTATTTTCTTACAGAAACTACGATATATTGATTTGAAATGTCGCGTGACGTCACTTCTATGTACATTTTATACGTAGAAATGACGTTTTAGCCCCCACTCCTAAACTTTGATTCGTTATATCTAAGTATTGTTTTATTATACGACAAAATAAAAAAATACTTGTCTAATATTTTTTTTATTATCTAACTGACAGACTAATTAGATTTTTCATTTTAATACCCCATCATCATCCAAATTACCCCTTTCTCCTTACCCAATCTTCCCAATCCCTGAATCCCCAACAAACAATACTTAAATTCAGAATCCCCAAAAGGCCTGTAACGCACTTGTAACGCCTCTGGTGTTCCAGGTGTCCATGGGCGACGCCGATTGCTTACCATCAGGTGATCCGTCTGCTCGTTTACCGGCTTATCCCATTAAAAAACAATACGAGCTAATGATAAACTGGTTTCGTATAGCGATGTGTAGCCATGTTGTTCAATGTTCCTATGTAGTATTTTTGTATTCATTCATAGATAGGTATTTCTCATTATTATGTAAAGTTACACTCAAAAATGTATTTTACCTGTTAAGTAATAAAAATGTTGAAGAAAAACCTATATTTGTTATTTTATTTATCAGATTTAATCATTTTGCCTCGTTGGACGTGTGGTCGCAAGTGTGACTGCCGGGCAAGGGGTCTCGGGTTCGATTGCCGGGTCGGGCAAAGTAATACCTGGGTTTTTTAAAAATTCTCAGTAGTAGCACGGAGTCGGGAACAATAGGCTCACCCCCTATTACATGAGTCTCTAACATAAATAGTGAAAAGTGGGTGTTACATTGTAGGTACATTGGCATAATGTGCACCTCTGCCTACCCCTTCGGGGATAAAAGGCGTGATGTTATGTTATGTGTTATTTAATCATTTTCTATGCATTTTATCGCCATATCACGTACAACTCTGCTGGCTGTACTGTTCTAGTTGTGATCGGATTTACAAAACTAAATTCTGTCTGGCTACAGCACACGACAGGAGATAACTATTAGGGGTCGCCATTACCGAATCGGTAAGGAGGACTATATATTTACTAGCGGACCCCACAGACGTTGTCCTGCATATCCACTTGAATGTACATATAAACAAAAATTCATTCAAATTAGTTCAGCTGTTTAGGATAAGTAACCTAAACATCGACTGCAGCGCCATCTGCCGGGCTGATTTGTGAATCTAAACCATTCCCAGATCCTTGAACACACACAAAAAATTTCATCAAATTCGGTCAAGTCGTTTGAGAGAAGTTCAGTGACATACACACTCACAGAAGAATTATATATATATATATAAAGATTTAGAAAATGTTACATTATAACACTACAGCTTACGCCATTAAGTTGTACTGTTAATCATATATAAATATCTATCTATACATAAGTATCGTAGAAAAGTCAAAATTGTATACTGAATGTTTTTTTAAAAGAATACTTGGGGCGTGATGTCCGGGATGATCTCAAAAAGTACTGATTTACTTCAAATTTAGCATGAATATCACTAACAGATCGGGTCAACGTCAACATATAGGTTAATTATCACACTATCGCCTACGGGACTGAATCATTTCTGACGAGATTCATTACTTACCGTATATCCTTTGATAAAAACTTATTCAAAAGCTTAAATTCTACCAGAAGTCATTATTCTACGCGGACTAAGTCGCGGGCAACAGTTAGTAAGAAAGAAAAAGTAATACAATTCAATAGCAAAATTAAAAAAAATATAGGTACATACAATTACAATTGAATAACAAAATTGATAATCATAGTAAGTATTTGTAACCTGAAACAAACATTAACATTATATTTATCTGCGTATCATTCATCCTCTCACAAAATCTTAAACATTCACGACACACATCTATCCATTACATTGCAAACATATTTATTACACTTGTGCTGACATCAGGAGAGAATCATGGTGAGTACTCGGACCAGCGGAGAATTTGCGTACGTGCTTCTAGTACAGCCACTAAGGGATGTTGACGCGATCGAAGTTGGTGTGTGAGCAGCCTCGGTACTGGTAACCGCACCACCTGACCTACAATCTCTGGACAGTCAGATTCACCTTACATCGTCTTACACCTCTCCAAAAAACTAAGTAGCACTGCTTACGCTCTCTACAAAATAGCCTCGATAGTTAATACTGACGCTGTGCTTACCGCCTATCATGGACTCGCAGCGTCTAGATTGCGATATGGAATAGTTTTTTGGGGAAACTCTACAGATAGTGATATTGCTTTTAGGGCACAAAAACGATGCGTACGAGCTATGTTTGGTCTTCAACCAACAGACAGCTGTAAGCCGTACTTTATCAGGCATGGCATCCTTACACTTCCGTCTCTGTATATACTTGAGGTAGCAATGTTTGTGTATAGAAATCCTCACCTTTTCGAACGGCTGCGTGATATTGTGCCGCGAAATCGGCGGAACAATAATAAACCGTGTCTTCACACAGCAGTAACGAGTCTTATGGGAAAGAGTCTTTTATGTATGGCGCCAAAAATATACAATAAAATCCCAAACGACATAAAACATTTCAATATTAGTATATTCAAAAATAAATTAAAATCAATTTTATCCAAGAAATGTTATTATAATGTAAACGACTTCTTTAATGACGGTAATTTGTAGGACATTTATAAGTTTAACTTTTATTTATTTAAGCACTGACATTTTAATGTATTATACTATGACATTTTTATTTTATTTTTTTGTTATATTACCTTTATTGACTTAAGCTAACAATATTTCATACGCCTGTGGGGGCAGATTTTGGTGGTACTATCTTAATACTGTGAATCTGTGATCATAATTATTTACCCAAAATGTAATGAATAAATGATTTTGATACAACTCAAAATCATTAAGGAGTAATGAGAGTTACTTAAACCATAACATGCCTAACAGAAACTTAGTGGGGTACAGGGGGTTTACTCTCCAATCCAATTCCGATCGATCGACATTGGTATTGTGAAATTTCGTACTCTTGAGTTACAACATTGGCGCCCATTGCATCCGTATTGTGTGGATATTAAAAGAAATGAATGGTATTGAGTTTGGCTTTATATTCCGTACTCTGAATGCTATTGTAACAGCTACGATTGTGGTTGTATAGTGTTGACATTGAATAATTATTAAGATTTTATTGGATTGAAATTGCATTGACATTGAGGTTGGTTTCAAGAGTAAGCACCTAGAAAAGGGTAATAGCCAAACCGTTTTCTGTACAGAAACCTCAAAAACGCTTAATGCAACTTTTCAAGCATCAGAGCAACCTCTATAATCTATAATAAGTAACCTCATGCGGACTCCATACCAGAGATGCAGATTCTAGCTTGCTTCTAACCAGGGTCATGTACACCAATTTGATAGCTGTTATATTATCAAATTCGCGCATATTGCGAATTGCAAATCTGACCTACGATAAGAGACGCTAGTAACCGCTCTCATGTGGTCATCAAAAGTTAATCGAAGATCGAACAATACCGATCGAATAATAGTAGTCCACATGAATGGGCTTGTGAGCTCTAGTAAAAGACATCACATTGCACTGAGCCGTGTTAAAATTAACGTGATTTTTAACGCGCCAGTTAAGTACGGAAGCAATGTCACCCTGCAATTCGACTGCACGGTTGGCGCGGTGGCTGGGTAACCGGCTGTAGGTAGGTGTAGCGGGTTAGATTCCCGCACGGAGCAACTCTGTGTGATCTACAAATTGTTGTTCCGGGTCTGGGTGTCATGTGTATGTGAACTTGTATGTTTGTAAACGCACCCACGACACAGGAGAAAATCCTTGTGTGGGGGCAATGATTTAAAAAAAATGATCCTGTGCCCGCTATGTTCTGAATACCGTACACCAGTTTGAGGTCATCCGCATAAAGCATAGCTAGCATATTTAACAGATGCTTCCAAGTCATTCACTATTAGGCCAAGCAGCAGAAGCAGCATCAATAAGAGGTGGAATGTTGTAATGATATCTTTGTTTTCTTATGAAGTTTGTTCTTAGAGATTTCATATTGTCCCTAACGATCGTTGCAATAAAAGTACAGGGTGCAAATTTTGACAGATTTTAGTCTGTTCGATTACCTTGTGAGGAAAGTTAATTTAAAAAAATCTTTGAATGCAGTTTTTCTTTCTTTTCAAAAATAAAGGAATGTTGTCTTTGTATAGAGTACTTCCTTTTTAGGCGGCATTGCAGTAAGATAGATAAAGTCGTTATATAGTTATACATATATATTTTTGAGAGGGAAAATCATCGAATGACTGCTCCCGCCTGGGTGAGGCGGGAGGGAGTGTCAGACTCTTACTGACTAAAAACCACTCCGTTCCTACTCCTGCACTTCGAGCCGGAGCCCCGGTTACCCGTTAGGTTCTCCGCGGCTTCGTATACTTATGTACTGTTTAGCTAGGACCTCTAAAAATGTCGATGACATGTTAGAAGATGACGACGATTTTAGGTCTAATCTGGGAATATACTATGTAGTTGTAAACTATCATATAATAGATCAATAAAACAATTAACTCAATATTTAGGTAACATAATTTATTGAGATTTTTATCATAATTATACATAGGTACTTAAGTATCGTCATGAGCTAGTGTTCAAATGTAAACAGCAGCTCATGTAAAGAGATTGTCCAGTCAACTGATGGTAGCGGTGACTGTCCAGGCGACACACGTACTTAGGTATCGTCATGAGCTAATGTTCACATGTAAACAGCAGGTCATGTAAAGAGATTGTCCAGTCAACTGATGGTAGCGGCGACTGTCCAGGCGACACACGTACTTAGGTATCGTCATGAGCTAATGTTCACATGTAAACAGCAGCTCATGTAAAGAGGTTGTCCAGTCAACTGATGGTAGCGGTGACTGTCCAGGCGACACACGTACTTAGGTATCGTCATGAGCTAATGTTCACATGTAAACAGCAGCTCATGTAAAGAGGTTGTCCAGTCAACTGATGGTAGCGGCGACTGTCCAGGCGACACACGTACTTAGTTATCGTCATGAGCTAATGTTCACATGTAAACAGCAGGTCATGTAAAGAGATTGTCCAGTCAACTGATGGTAGCGGCGACTGTCCAGGCGACACACGTACTTAGGTATCGTCATGAGCTAATGTTCACATGTAAACAGCAGCTCATGTAAAGAGGTTGTCCAGTCAACTGATGGTAGCGGTGACTGTCCAGGCGACACACGTACTTAGGTATCGTCATGAGCTAATGTTCACATGTAAACAGCAGCTCATGTAAAGAGGTTGTCCAGTCAACTGATGGTAGCGGTGACTGTCCAGGCGACACACGTACTTAGGTATCGTCATGAGCTAATGTTCACATGTAAACAGCAGCTCATGTAAAGAGGTTGTCCAGTCAACTGATGGTAGCGGCGACTGTCCAGGCGACACACGTACTTAGTTATCGTCATGAGCTAATGTTCACATGTAAACAGCAGGTCATGTAAAGAGATTGTCCAGTCAACTGATGGTAGCGGCGACTGTCCAGGCGACACACGTACTTAGGTATCGTCATGAGCTAATGTTCACATGTAAACAGCAGCTCATGTAAAGAGATTGTCCAGTCAACTGATGGTAGCGGTGACTGTCCAGGCGACACACGTACTTAGGTATCGTCATGAGCTAATGTTCACATGTAAACAGCAGCTCATGTAAAGAGGTTGTCCAGTCAACTGATGGTAGCGGTGACTGTCCAGGCGACACCTATATCACATGTTGATGATCATAGTAAGATGATAATTCTTCTTCTAGTTTATCCTTTTCACATACTTCTCTGAGATGCCTGTTCAGTTTACTTTTACCCTGAAATATAAAACAAACCTTTGTATGATGTAAGCCGGTAAACGAGCAGACGGATCACCTGATGGTAAGCAATCGGCGTCGCCCATAGACATTACTAATACTAGAGGAGGTACTACTGCGTTGGCAGCCTTCGGGGATTATAAATAGAACGGGTTGCCGTATTCTGTAAGATCTCTGTTGGTCGGGTATAATATACCCACGTGAAGAGTGGCGGTGGTGAACTGATGACAGAATGAAATGTATTGACTCTAATTAAAAGGAGTGATTTTAACTGACTTCAAAAACGAGATTTTTAATTTGACTTCTATGTAAGTATGTTTGTCAGCGATTACCGCGGTTGATCATCATCAATCTCATCATCATCAACAGCCTATAAATGCCCACTGCTGAGCAAAGCCTGTTCTCACACGGAGAAGGTTTGAGCATTAATCACCACGCTTGCTCAATGCGTGTTGGCGATTTCAAACTTATAATTAGAAATTATAAGTCCAGGTTTCCTCACGATGTTTTTCCTTCACCGTTTGTCAGTGGTGTCTAAATAATCTTAGAAAGTACATATAACTCGGAAAAAGTCACATTGGTTCTTGCCGTTAATAGGTTTCGAACCCGCACCCTCATGCATGAGAAGTGGGCGTCTTAAACCTCCGAGCCACCACGACACCCTCCGGGCCACCACGACACCCTCCGGGCCACCACGACACGGTTGACTAACCCGATTATATTACAGTTCTCAAATAAATATTTATACACTATTTTTTTAAGGGACTGATTTGCTGGACAGAATTTCAGAATAAACGACAGTAATGTTTCTTATTGGAGATTTATGGAATTAGGAATAATTATCAATTACGTTAAGCCGCGTTATAAAGCTAGTTACAAGACGGCGGCGTGTACTTCGCACTTACGGATTTCTGTAATTAACAGAAAAATGAAAAATATTTACCTACAATTGGGTAGTTTCCAGGGTATAAAAATTACAAATCGAATTAGTCCGTCAGTTAGATAATGAAAAAATATTAGACACGTATTTTTTTATTTTCTCGTATTAAGTTTCAAACCTTATATAAAATGGCGCTAAGTTTAGGAGTCGTTAGAGGTCGTTACGTCATAACGTGCTACAAAATGTGGCACGCTGTGACGTCACACGATATTTTAAATTAATATATCGTCGAAAGTATTTAATTTTGTGAGAAAAGAAAAAATACGTGTCTAATGTTTTAAATTAATTTACCAGACGGAAGTCGTGGTGGCCCGGAGGTTTAAGACGCCCACTTCTCATGCATGAGGGTGCGGGTTCGAAACCTACCAACGGCAACTACCGATGTGACTTTTTCCGAGTTATATGTACTTTCTAAGATTATTTAGACACCACTGACAAACGGTGAAGGAAAAAAATCGTGAGGAAACCTGGACTTATAATTTCTAATTATAAGTTTGAAATCGCCAACCCGCATTAAGCAAGCGTGGTGATTAATGCTCTAACCTTCTCCGTGTGAGAAGAGGCTTTGCTCAGCAGTGGGCATTTATAGGCTGTTGATGATGACCAGACGGACATTGAAATAAAATTTAGGAAACTACCCTATTGTGATTGTAATGCGCAAAGTTATCGTTGTATTTTTTTAAATTGGACTGTCTTTGAACGACTGAACTATATCTTTTACTAGCTTTTACCCGCGGCTTCGCTCGCGTCACAAAAGGATAAAAAGTAGCCTATGTGACATATACCTGTTTTTCCTCGAAAATATCAATTTTTCCGGGTTAAAAATTACCCTATTATTTAATCCGGACTTCTAACTTTACGTCTGCAAAAATTCAAAGCAATCGGTTGAGTAGTTACGGCGTGAAGGTGGAACAAACAAACAAACAAACAAATTCACTTTCAGATTTATAATATTATATTATAATATATATATATATATATATTTACATCCTGGAATCATTTTGGCGTCACACACGTCGCGCATCATTACGACGTCCCCCAGTTCCCCTTAACATTTTTAATATGTCTTGATGAATATTGCTTAGTTATTCGATTTCCAGCTTTGTAGGATACGTCATTTTCCGATAATTTTATTTTTCGCGATATTCTTCTTGCAGTCATGCTGCAACATTTTTGAACCCCAAACCATCATGATAACTAATTGGGCTCCTAGATATATTGAACGTGATTTAACCATGGCTTCGGCTAATTAACGTCCTCACAGCGTGGATGGTATTTGCGAGTGCAACGTTGCCAGCTTTGGGTTCACTTGTCTCTTTCTTTTCCTCTCTCTTGTCACTCGTCTGGGACAGAGTTTTAACAGTATTACAATATTCGTAAAATCTATCAATACATATACTAATGCCCGATATTGGTATAATATTGGTAACAAGATGCAAAAAATTGAGGTTTCTATGAGATTTTTACATGAGAAGATGCCGCAGTAGGAATAACATATTTTTTAAATGTTTGCCTAGTCTATTCCATACATAAATACAAATCGGTTCAGCCCGCATGTGATCGGCGCGGCGTACCGGTTTTACAAATTTATCTAAAGAAAGAAACACAGAACTCAATTTTTATTTCAAAGTAAGCAAGAGTAAAATAAGTGAAAGTTTCTTCCCCAGCGGTCATCATGTAAGATCATCTATAACTGTGAAAGATCATCTAGTTATTGGGCGTCCGTATATAGTTATTAATCATCATCAGCCTATTTAAGTCCACTGCTGGACTAGCACCATCTACTGGGCTACGTTAGGAATTCAAAAATGGTCATGCAAATTTCAGTTGACCCAAACGCTATGGTCATCAAGTAAAAAGCTATATCACTATACTGCTCACACACGGAAATGGGAGGTCCGTTGATTGCGGATCCTGACAATTGACATGGTAATGGCAGGGGTCTCTTGCGGAGCCTGACGATGGCCATGCGCGCGAAGAAAGCAGCAGGTATCACTTAGCTATCGAACGTCCGTATATAGCTATTGGGCGTCCGTATATAGCTATTGAACGTCTATATATAGCTATTGGGCGTCCGTATATAGCTATTGAACATCCACGTACTTCCTCAGCAGGTGTCATGTTAGATTTGAGGAGTGGCTTGAGAGACAGAGACGCTACGGCGTCCTTATCTACCGCCTGACGCAGGTGCTTACCGGACACGGAATTTTCGGTAGGTTCCTGCTTCGGATTGGGCGGGAGGAAACGCTCAGGTGTCATCATGGTGAGAGCCACCCGGGGGACACGGTGGAGCATACGGTGGCAGTGTGCCCTGCGTGGGCTGAACACCGTCGTGTCCTCAGGAATGTGATCGGCGACAGCGACCTCTCGCGTCCGACACTGGTTCAGACCATGGTACAGAGTGAGGGAGACAGGGATGCCGTCTCCTCCTTCTGCGAAGCAGTCCTGCTAGCTAAGGAGGAGGCAGAGCTCGTGAGGGAACGAGCCTCCTCACGCTCCAGCCGTCACGAGAGACACTCCAGGCGTCGGGGATCGCGAAACGGTCTCCGTCCACCGTAAGCACGGGCCTGCGGTCGGCGAGCACGGATGACTTGCCGCCCGATCAGAACCAGACCCGAACGTACGGCGCGTCGCGTTCCGCATACGCCCCAAGGAGCCATCAGACCACCACGGGTGGAGCTGATGCCCATACGGAGCCACAGAGGACTTAAAGGGTGACCGGGGCTCCGACTCGAAGTGCAGGAATAGGAACGGGGTGGTTTTAAGTCAGTAAGAGTCGGAAGGTACCTGTGTCTGATGGGGCGGGAGGAAACGTCCGGGTGTCATCACTGTGAGGACCGCCCTGAGGACACGGTGGAACACACTATAGCGGAATGCATTGCGTGGGCTGAGCACCGCCGTACCCTCAGGGAAGTGATCGGCGATGGCGACCTCTCGCGTCCGGGCCTAGTGCAGACCATTATGCGGAGCGAGGGGGACTGGGATGCTGTCTCCTCCTTTTGCGAAGCAGTCAAACTAGCTAAGGAGGAGGCAGGACGCATGAGGCAGCGAAGCGCTGCCTCCTCGCAACCCAGCCATCGCAAAGGACACACCGGGCGTCGGGGATCGCGGGAAGATCTCCGGCCACCGTAAGCGCGGGCCTGCGGACGGCGAGCATGGGTGGCTCCCCGTCCGACCAGAAACAGACCTGAACGTGCGGCGCGTCGCGTTCCGCGTGCTCCTCAAAGAGCCATAAAACCACCACAGATGGGGCCCAACAGGGCCGATGCCGAGTCGGAGTCGCGGAGAACCTAACGGGTAACCGGGGCTCCGGCTGGACGTGCAGGAGAAGGAACGGGGTGGTTTTTAGTCAGTAAGAGTGACACTCCCTCCCGCCTTACCCAGGCGGGAGCAGTCAATCGATGATTTTCCCCGCTTAAAAAAAAGTCAGTAAGAGAAACTTCCTCTGAAACTTCCACTTGCCTCACCAGCGCGGCCGCCGGCGGCCGGCGGCAAAAGGCATTGGATGATTTTTTATCCCTCAAAAAAAGGTATCATGTTAGATCACCTAGCTATTGATCGTCAGTATATTGCTGTTGAACGTTCGTATATAGCTATTGGACGTCCGTATATAGCTATTGAACGTCTGTATATAGCTATTGGGCGTCCGTATATAGCTATTGAACGTCCACGTATAGCTATTGGGCGTCCGTAATTAGAAAAGATAATAAGAATATATCTTATTACTAGAATGGTTTTATTAAGTATATATGTTCAAAACTTCTTTCATTTAGGCTGGTTTCAGAGCTAGAGGATTGGGCAGCGCTGCTGAAGTGCCTCGCGCTTGGAGATGATGAGAGCTCTAGCATCGTTTTATTGCGACGCGACTGTCATAGAGGTAGAGGTCCCAGTAGAGGACTTTATCGCTAGAAATTATGATCTATGAGATACACTTTTATTTTAATCTAAACCTTAAGTAACTGAAGACCGCACCTAATCTGATCTTTGTGCGCAAATATTGTATTGAATTTCAATTTCATTTAAGGCAAGATTCCTAATTTAATACTTCTAGTTGTGGCCACTCGATTAACTCCTCTATTGGATTGTTGCCTGATGCCTCTGTTGTTGAAGCCCGCGCTTCAGCCGCGCTGCCCATATCCCCTAGCTTTGAAACCAGCTTTAGAGCTGAATACAATTAGTTGTATCAAATATTTAATTGGCAGCTTATTGATATGAAGTTACCAATTCTAATTAAGCAAATAAAAACAAAGAATATGGATATCATTTTACTGCCTCGTTGGCCGAGTGGTCGCAAGTGCGATCGCCTGGCAAAGAGTCTCGGGTTCCATTCCCGGGTTGGGTAAAGTATTACTGGGTTTTTTCAAGAGTCTGGAAGTGTGCCCGGTATATGGCAATAAACTCACCCCCTATTACATGGGACTCATAACATAAATAGTAAAACTGTGGATATTACATTGTACAGTGGCATTAAGTGCCGTAATGTGCATCTCTGCTTACTCCTTCGGGGAAAAAGGCGTGATGTTATGTTATGTTAAATATGGATATCACTTTTAATGAAGTGTTTATGTTTTGTAATCAAAAACATTTATAATTCCTAATTGGATCTTTATAACACGCCAAGGCTAGAAATAAGAAAAACGTTGATTGATTTGATCAGTAATACAACATTAATTAATTATTCAGTGTTAGATGCATCTTCTAACCACATAAATAGATAAAGTTAATAAAATTACGTCAAAATTTATACGGAGACTATACTATCTAAATACACATTTAATACGAGTTAAACTCTGGTTAACTTTTTTGTGGTAAGACATAATTTTGTCACTTTAGTATTTATTTCTAAGATCCCTTTAAGGAATTAATTTATACCCTCATCTATTATAATATATCACTGATAGGTACTCATTTACAAATTGAGAACAGGGTTGCAGATAAGTTGTCGTAAGTTGCAATCACATGATTATAATAAAATCGGACTCCAAATAATACGCAACACATCCGAAATGTACGACGATGAATATTGTTTTGAATGCGGTAAATAATATTATGAACTTTTTCCACGGATTTAATGAGCGAACTGGCAACGTCGCTGTTATTTTTTTGAGGACGCCAAATACGCGGACTTGTAATTAGAAAATCCCAAAAATATACAGCTGTGGATATACGCGCTACAGCAGCGCTCTATCTGCGCTGAGATTTCTTTGGGAACTTTTCAAAATACTATAACAGCCATTGAACCGATCTTTTGGCCTCTGTCGATTTTTAACCTACGTGTAACCAGGACCAAAAGGACCTAAGTAGCATAGGCCAAAAAAGTGGCGTCCGGTATGCGGACGCCACAAGCAGGTGGACGCCAGATTAAATGCACTTTCGCCTTCATGGGACGTCCAATCGATAGCGGGATGTAAATATATATATATATATATAATATATATATATAATATATATATAATATATAGTAAGAATAAGGATTGATTCGGACTCAGAATCGATAGCCAAGTTACCTCCTAGAAAATGACGCGGCTTTAAAATAACACCTTGTATAGTTTTTTTTAAGGGGTGAAAATCATCGTATGACTGCTCCCGCCTGGGTGAGGCGGGAGGGAGTGTCAGACTCTTACTGACTAAAAACCACCCCGTTTATTCTCCTGCACGTCGAGCCGGAGCCCCGGTTACCCGTTAGGTTCTCCGCGACTCCGAATCGGCATCGGCCCTATTGGGTGGTCTGATGGCTCTTTGGGGCGCGCGCGGAACGCGACGCGCCGTACGTTAGGGTACCTTGTATAGGTATAGGTACTCACTTTAAAACTATTTCCGCATATATGACAGTATGCTAGTTTTATAGGTGTAGGGTTAGTATGAGCCCTTATGTGTCTAACTAACGATTTCCTGTTCGTATATCGAGCACTGCAAGTTGAACAACTGAATTCTTTGCTGGTTGAATGTACGGCCGAAATGTGTGAAGCCAAAGATTTCTCATTAGGACACGTCCTATTGCAGATTGGACATTCAAATCTGAAAAGAAGAAAGATTTGTTTTATGGGATAGGTCGATAAACGAGCTGTGTGATCACCTGATGGTAAGCAATCGGCGCCGCCCATGGACACCTGGAACACCAGAGGCGTTACAAGTGCGTTACCGGCCTTTTGGGATTTAGGAGTTTGATGATTGTGCTTTTATAATAACTATCGTGAGACATACTAAATTAACTAAAAATCGCGGGTTACTCACGTAAATATACTGAGAAAAGCTCTACTAGTTTTGACTAGGCTGCGCGACATCGCCGCGACCGCGCACGCTGCTCATGAGGAAGAACCCCTCTGTGGTTCGAAACTAGTAGAGCTTTTCTCAGTATATTCATGTGTGTAACCCGCGCTTTTTAGTTAATTTGAAGATTGTGGAGGATTCGGGGAGTGGGAAGTCTGGGAAAGGGGGGTAATTGGGCTTTCGGTAACCTCACTCACACGACGAAACACAACGCTAGCGTTGCTTTACGTCGATTTTCTGCTCGGCCGTGGTATCACTCCGGTCGAGCTGACATATTCGTAAACTCACACTTGAATTTCTATTAAAAACAAGGCTTATGCTTAAGGGACTGCCTTGTTGGCCGAGTGGTCGCAAGCGCGACCGCCGGGAAAGGGGTCTCGGGTTCGATACCCGAGTCGAACAAAGTATTACTGGGTTTCATAAAAAATCTCAGTAGTAGCACGGATTTTGGAATTGTGCTCAGTATATGGCAATAGGGTCACCCCCTATTACATGGGACTCATACCACAAATAGTAAAAAGTGGGTGTTACATTGTACAGTGGCATAATGTACACCTCTGCCTACCCCTTTGGGGATAAAAGGCGTGATGTAATGTTATGTTAGTTAGAATATAATCTCTAAAATTTTAAGTAAACGAAAGAAATACAGTGTATTTGCCCCATTACAGAAAACAACAAGAAAACTAGTTAAAAAAAAACAGAATAATGTACACGGTGCAAAAAGGCCAGTGCTCAGCTAAATGCCGTGTCACGAGCGTGATTGATGGAGTCGCGGCGCTGATTCTTAGCACTAGCTTGTTGCCTTACTTAAACTGTCAAACACCGCGAGGACACCGGTGACTGCAACCTATTGTTCTTTAATCCTTATCCTTACTTTCCTTACTTATATTATAAATCAGAAAGTGAGTTTGTTTGTTTGTTTCTTTGTTCCACTTTAACGCCGTAACTACTAAACCGATTGCTTTAAAATTTTGCAGACGTAAAGTTAGAAGTCCGGATTAAATAATAGGGTACTTTTTATCCCTGAAAAATTTGATATTCCCGAGGGAAAACAAAAGAATTGGTATAGATGGCGCTGTATGTACTGGTATAGATGGCGTTGTATGTCATTTAAAACCAGTCAACGAATTACCTACTTATTGGAAAAATGTAAATAGCGCGATATAACCGAATTCCACGCGAGCGGAAATCTATTTGTTTGTTTGCCTGTCTTAAACGGCAGAACGGAGGTACTAATTAACGTGATTTTTTAACTGAAGGTAGTTCAACGGATGGATAGTCACATAGGCTACTTTTTATCCTTTTGTGACGCGAGCGAAGCCGCGGGTAAAAGCTAGTTATATATATAAACCGTTTCCCGTTGTCACGCCATAACTAAAGAACGTCTAGACTGACTTGGTTGATTTTTTTATTGTATTTGTTATTGTCAGGAGAAAGTTCTTATGACAGAAAAAGGGAACGGGAGAAAACGGGCTTGCGTGTACGAAGTACGTAATAAATTGTCCTTATGATCACTGAAAACTTCTTTTTTTTATTAAGATATCCATCATTTATGAATTTGGCGGCTTTTGACGCTTGACAGTTTGACAGTGACATCTAAGCTACCCCAAGCGCACGCGACGATGCGGTAACAGCCTTCGATCAACAATGTTGCTATCCCTCGACACTGGCAGTATAGTCGACAACTTCGTTTTGGAGACTAGGTTGCCAAAGGGAAAAAAAGACAATGTTGTTATTGTTGATCGAAGGGTAACAGCGGTAAATACATCTGTGATGTAAATGTCAGTGTCAAGCTGACAAATATAATGAAACGCATGTTTAGTTCAGGAGATTTATTTATTGTACAAATAATTTTTGTTATTTTAATTTTGAATTGTATATATATATTTTTTTACTGTTTTTCTATTATTATTATTAAATGTATGTAATATTTTATTAGTCACGGGCAAGTGCTGAAAAACAGCGCCGCGACCCGAGCACACTCGTGTCACGGCATTTAAGCTGAGCTCTTGCCTTTTTGCGCCGTCTTTACTGTATTGTTTTTTATTTTATTTCCTTGTGTCAGTGTGCAAATAAAAAAAATTTCTTTCTTTCTTCTTTCTTTCAAATAATGCCCCCCCCCCCCCCCCGATTATACAGCCGACACCCAAATGCGTCTTCCTGACCTTCACAAAGGTATCATGTATTTACGAAAGAAAGAGCAATCACAAAAGTGCTGTGACTCCGTAGATCATAAAGAATTGGTATTTGAAGTCCGTACCACACATTGGAGTGTTATATTTCAACCACTGAGTAACAGCCCGGATAGCTCAGTCGGTAGAGCATTGGACTTTTAATCCAAGGGTCCAGGGTTCAAGTCCCTGTTCGGGCGATACTTTTTGCTTTTTGTCAATATTTTTTCATCTATTTACTGCTCACCAAATTGTATATATTTCTATAAGACATAATTATATCGAAATAAAGGAGAAAATATTGTTCTTTATTTATTTTTATTTATTATTTACTAGCTTTTACCCACGGCTTCGCTCGCGTCACAAAAGGATAAAAAGTAGCCTATGTGACATATACCAATACACACAGCGCCATCTATACTAATACTGTTGTTTTTCCTCGGTAATATCAATATTTTCCGGGTTAAAAAGTACCCTATTATTTAATCCGGACTTCTAACTTTACGTCTGCAAAAATTCAAAGCAATCGGTTGAGTAGTTACGGCGTGAAGGTGGAACAAACAAACAAACTCACTTTCAGATTTATAATATTAGTAAGGATAAGGATTAACACTTCTGTATAACAAACATACGATGGCGGACTTAATGCCGGGTGGCATTCTCTAACAGTCAACCATGGGGTGATGCAGAGATGTGCAACAGTAGGTGTAATAGGTATAATGGTTTATGTGACACAGAAAAATCTATATAGAGGTAAATAAATTCATGATTATGGATATCTGTAAATACATACATATATCCGTATATATAGGTATAATATAACATAAGATACATTATCAATATTACTAAATAACAATACTATAAAAGTAAATAAATAAATTGGTAATAAAACTTCATATAATATATATATACATATATGTTAAATACAATCGCCAAAATGATAAATTAAGTACGTGATGCGTCTGTCTGTTCCCTCTGCAATAGTTCACGAACCTTAACTTTAAAACTAAGCCGGCTGGTTGCCGTCCTGACATTTAACGTTTTTTATAAGCAAATAAAAGCAATGTATGCACCATAGGCTTTTTTATTTTTTTATTTTAAAAGACTTCATGCACATACTATTGTACAAGGTGGGCTTAATGCCTAGGGCATTCTCCTCCAGCCAGACCTTTGGGTGATGCAGAGACAAAAACAATGGTCGATGCAAGAAGCAAGCGTATTTAAGACTACAGAAATGCATAAAAAAAGGATAGTATAGACTTACATAAAATAAATCCCTATATAAACTTACATGTATATGACATAACAATAAACATACACAATTATATTACATATACTACTACTGCTTTTTTGTGTGTTCCTAAATTCTTGTTGTGTGTCGTAGCAAAATAAATGGTTTTTCTTTCTTTCTTTCTAGATGTACCATCTATCCCCAAGCAGTCACCGGTGACCGCTCTCCACTAACTACATTATAGACCTTATTTCCAATGCTTAGAGACTACTTTTGCATAGGGTACGATATTACAATGTATGTGTGCGGTTGCGTAAAGTGGAATCTTGCAAATAAATTAGGTACTTGCCTTAATTAAAAATGAATTATTTCGACTGTTCAATACAATAAAATATTAAAAACTAATCACACTTTCATTAATTGATTTTATGATCAACTTAATTTTAGTATTTTTCCAGCAAATTTTTAAGAAATAACTATGCTATTTGAGGCAAAAAAAACGTGACGTCACAATACACAATCTCGTACAAAATTCATAGAAAACTGTCGTTTTTGACAGTTCGAAAAAAGTATTGAATTTGACTAGTTGGCAAGTACACAATATTGAAGAATAAACTACGCAGAATTTTATTTTTACATAACTTACATAACATAACATAACGCCTTTTATCCCCGAAGGAGTAGGCAGAGGTAAACATTGTAACAATATAACACTCACTTTTCACTATTTATGTTATGAGTCCCATGTAATAGGGGGCGAGTCTATTGCCATATACCGGCCACAATTCCAGACCCCGTGCTACTACTGAGAATATTTAAAAAACCCATTAAAACTTTACCCGACCCGGGAATCGAACCCGAGACCCCTTGCCCGGCAGTCGCACTTGCGACCACTCGGCCAACGAGCCAATTTTTTTTTAAATCCAGTTATATTTAGTGTAGGTAAAGTACAGTCCCAATTTCTACTTACGATCGACTCTGATGATTCAAAGAGTGTCTCTGGTGAGCCAGAAGACTCTTTCTCGTAGAATATGAAAGTCCACAGGTCTCACAGAAGAACTCCTTACTTTCTGCTGTCTGAACATGTTTCTTCTTATGTTGAGATAGCGTATATGGACTACTAAATATCGAAGTACATTGATCGCATGAAAATTTCCGGTGTATATGCTTTCTGTAATAAAAATAAATCAGGGTTTTTTTATTACCTTCAATTCTGTGCTATTACTGACATTTTTTTAAGAAAACCTAGTAATACTTTGCCCGACCCGGAAATCGAACCCGAGACTGTGCAGTCGCACTTGCGACCACTCGGCTAATGAGGTGGGATTGGAAAAAAAATCTTTAACAATACATTAATTTTGGTGGCTCCGTCGCAGAATATCCACTTTTCAAAATGTCCACTGGTCGCAAAATGTCCTTTTCTCAGAATGTCTCTTTTGTAGAATGTCCCTTTCGTATATTGTCCTCTTTTTATTTCTGACTTACTTTAATCATAATTCATTTTAGCAATTAGCTTGCACACATCATTACCACAACTTATAAAAACGTAATATTTTTACAGTTCACGGTTCGTAGATAATTAAAGAGTTCAAATTTCGCTTATTGCGAGTTAATAACAATTAAGTTGGTAAAATAATTACTTTAAATCAAGCGATTATGCAAAGAACTAAAGGTGATTTGTACTATATATATATTTTTATGCTTACCCATATCAATATAAATAAACACACGTCAAACATGATGTGTGAAAGCTAATTGCTAAAATGAATTATGATTAAAGTAAGTCAGAAATAAAAAGAGGACAATATGCGAAAAGGACATTTTGAGAAGTGAACATTCTGCAACGGAGCCTTTTTAGTACTTACATCATATGCGTTCTAACAGCGGCTTGGTTGTTATAATTCTTCCCACAAACGCTGCAAGAGTAGGTTCGGTTCCCGGGTCGTGTCATATGAAACCTTTTCAAATGTTGATGTAGACCACTTGAATCTCTGTAAAAGATAGATATATTTATTTAGTAAAACATGAGTAATTTTAGTGTGGGAGAGTCATGCTTCGGCACGAATGGGCCGGTTCGACCGGAGTGATACCACGGCCTCACAGAAAACCGACGTGAAGCAACGCTTGCGTTGTGTTTTATCGTGTGAGTGAGGTTACCGGAGGCCCAATTACCATCCCCTTCCCCAATCTCCCCAATACCTGAATCCCCAACGATCCTCAAACTCCTAATCCCCAAAAAGCCGGTAACGCACTTGTAACGCCTCTGGTGTTCCAGGTGTCCATGGGCGACGCCGATTACTTACCATCAGGTGATCCGTCTGCTCGTTTACCGGCTTATGCCATAAAAAAATTACAATGAAGGTGTTTTTGGTTAGCACAGAGTCTACATGTTTTGCTATTCATGGCGTACTAAAAAGATTAAGAAAAAAAAACAGACTTCAAAAAACAAAAAACTAATAACAAACAAAAGTTCAAAACTAAAAAGCAAAAAATAACTATTATTAGTACTGATAAGAACTATTATTAGTTCCGACTTCTAACCTCAGTGGGTGGGCGACCTATCAGTACCATTGATAGTTATTTTTTCTTTTTTTTTTAGTGGGGTAATTTTCCCGGGAAAATCATTGAATGACTTCTCCCGCCTGGGTGAGGCGGGAGGGAGTGTCAGACTCTTACTGACTAAAAACCACCCCGTTCCTTCTCCTGCACGTCGAGCCGGAGCCCCGGTTACCCGTTAGATTCTCCGCGACTTTGAATCGGCATCGGCCCTATTGGGCTCCATCTGTGGTGGTCTGATGGCTCTTTGAATTAGACTTTTGGTTTAGACTTTTTGTTTGTTATTAGTTTTTGGTTTTTTGAAGTCGGTTTTTTAAACGTAGTTTTTATTTTATTATTTTATCATTTTTAGTGTAAAGCTACATATACCCGTTTTGTTATTTATAATCTACATAGGTGCAAAGTTCTAATCAATACAAATTATACAAGCCCAAACACAAGGTAGTTACTGTATGCCGTTGAGGAGTTCCCTTAACAATTACACTTCTTCATCATCAGACCCTTAATGACAGCTCCACTCTATCTAGGTGTAAAGTCCTCATCAATACAAATTAATCAAGTTCAAACACAAGGTAGTTAATATAAACCGCTGAGGAGTTCCCTCGACTGTCTGTCGGCTCCAACATCAGATCGACTTCAGACCCTTATTAAATTGTAGTATTTAACAATCGTAATTAAAACATAATAGACGCATTACTCGCCCATAGAATTTTCGAAAGTTCCCTTCGGGTTCCCTAGGATCCCATCATCAGATCCTGACCTCATTGAAATGGGGCCATCTCGGGAGTATACCCTTTCAAACAAAACAAGAATTTTGGAAATCGGTTCACAAATGGCGGAGTACTGCGCGAACAAACAAACAAAAAAAAAAACAATCAGCCGAACATAGTACCTCCTCCTTTTTTTGAAGTCGGTAAAAATTATTAGACACGGTATTTTTGTCGTATAATTAAACAATACTTGGATAAAACGAATCAAAGTTTAGGAGTGGGGGCTAGCTATGGCATGCTACCCTATAAAATGTGGTAAATCGTGAGGTCACACGATATTTCAAATCAACATATCGTCGGAAAGTATTTGATTCCGTATGAAAAAAAAATACGTGTCTAATGTTTGACATTGACCATCTTTTTCTTATACGACAAAATAAAAAAAATACGTGTCTAATATTTTTTCATTATCTAACTGACGGAGTAATTATACATACATAATACTTTCATTCTAATGTAGTTATAGTTTCCTTATGGCATCGAGCATTTCTTTCTTTATTGAAACAAAGAGTTTCCTTTTTCTTGTATAGAATCACTATTTTTATGGATTGTCAGTATGCATATGTGAGTACCATGTTAGACTATAAGATTTTTTTTTTTTATTATCGTAAGTTTTGTAATTAATATAATGCGTCAAGCGTGTCTTTGCATTGTTCTCACATATACGTACAGTATTGGAATATGTATCAGAGACATTGTAGAACATACTTTTTTAAAAAGAGTAACGAATGGAGTTTCTTGCTCGTTCTTCTCAATCCGAATCTACATTTCGGAATGAGCACCTAGCTTCACTGACGGACTGACTGATAGACTATTATTTATTTTGTATTTGTTGACGTTTCAAAAGTACCAAATTATGGTTTAATTGAAATAAATGCTTTGACTTTCAATAACCTCACGCGTGTGTCTCATGGGGGCAGGCAGAGACTATGGAACGCCTAAGATATGATGGAGCAATTTACATGCATGATGACCAGTCATGTTTTTTTTTACATGAATCATGATCATGTTATTGAAGTCTGTACCACAGGTTGGAATGCTATATTTCAACCCCTGAGCCATAAGCCCGGATAGCTCAGTCGGTAGAGCATTGGACTTTTAATCCAAGGGTCCAGGGTTCAAGTCCCTGTTCGGGCGATTCTTTTTGCTTTTTACAATATTTTGTTAGACCTTTATATGGAGGAAAATTATTCTACTTTTAGATAGATTTTAATTATTATGAAGGACGGTAAATAAAGCATTATCCTTTTTTTTATTTAATACATATTATTTTGAAATTTTAGCGTTATAAAATTACATTAATTAAAATTATAGTAAGCGCCATCTAGCGGCATTGCATTAAGTTGTTTGTGATGAAAAATTTGAACCTATGTAATAAAATTTTAAGTATTATTCTAAAGAAGGGTCAAATTAAAAGTACCCTTAACCGACGAGCATGCATGAAAAGATTGATGACTGTTGATGAAGCGAAAGAGGTATGTAGGAATCATACCAATTGGGGTTCCATAGTCTCTACCTACGATCCTACATGGAGACAGGCGTGAAGTTATGTATGTAATAGGGATCATCATCCCGGGGTATGAAACCCTGTCATCACAGGGTATGAAAATTAAAAATCTAATTAGTCCGTAAAAAATATTAGACACTTATTTTTTTATTTTTTGTACCTGTAATATAATAATAACTTAGACAAAATGAATCAAAGTTTAGGAGTGGGGGCTATAACGTCATTTCTAGGTATAAAATGTACATAGAAGTGACGTCACGCGACATTTCAAATCAATATATCGTCGAAAGTATTCGTTTCTGTAAGAAAATAAAAAATACGTGTCTAATGATTTAAAATAATCTACCAGACGGACATTAAAATAAATTTAGGCATCTCTACCTACCCTATTCTCTAGTTACATAGTTCTGTTTGTTCGATTTTGTGAGAACAATGTAACACCAAAATCACTATTCCACCCGGACGAAGTCGTGGGCACAGCTAGTCTATATATATATAAATGAAACCCGTTTCCCGTTGTCTCGCCATAACTTGAGAATGGCTGGACCGATTCGGCTGATTTTTTTTTGTTTTGTTTGTTATTGTCAGGAGAAGGTTCTTATGACAGAAAAAAAGTCCTGAAAATCTTATGGGAACAGGGGAAAACGGCATTGCGTGTACGAAGTCGTCGGCACAGCTATCCTTACGTATCCTTACTTCCTTACTATAATATTATAAATCGGAAAGTGAGTTTGTTTGTTTGTTTGTTCCGCTTTCACGCCGTAACTACTAGACCGATTGCTTTGAATTTTTGCAGACGTAAAGTTAGAAGTCCGGATTAAATAATAGGGTACTTTTTAACCCGGAAAAATTTGATATTCCCGAGGAACAACAAAAGTATTGGTATAGATGGCGCTGTGTGTATTGGTATATGTCACATAGGCTACTTTTTATTCTTTTGTGACGCGAGCGAAGCCGCGGGTAAAAGCTAGTACTTAGATAAAACGAATCAAAGTTTAGGAGTGGGAGGTAAAACATCATTTATTTAACGTCAAAACAATAAAACGATAATACAAACGTCATATCTACGTATAAAACGTACATATGCTTGATATTCCCGAGGGAAAACAAAAGTATTGGTATAGATGGCGCTGTATGTACTGGTATAGATGGTGTTGTATGTCATTTAGAACCAGTCAACGAATTACCTACTTATTAGAAAAATCTAAATAGCGCGATATATCCGAATTCCACGCGAGCGAAAAGCTATTTGTTTGTTTGCCTGTCTTAAACTGTCAAACACCAAGCGGTCACCGGTGACCGCGACCTATTGTTCTTTAATTGTGTCTATAAAACCGGTACTCGACGAGTTAAACGGCAGAACGGAGGTACTAATTAACGTGATTTTTAACTGAAGGTAGTTGAACGGATGGATAGTCACATAGGCTACTTTTTATCCTTTTGTGACCCGAGCGAAGCGACGCGGGTAAAAGCTAGTATATTATAAAAAGCGAAAGTTTGTGTGTCTGTTTATCTGTTTGTTCCACAATCACGTCAAAACTGCTGAAGGGATCTGAATTAAATTTGGAACAGGGGTTGATTGTAGCCTTTTTTTAAGGGGGGGAAATCATCGAATGTCTGCTCCCGCCTGGGTGAGGTGGGAGGGAGTGTCAGACTCTTACTGACTAAAAACCACCCCGTTCCTTCTCCTGCACATCGAGCCGGAGCCCCGGTAACCCGTTTGGTTCTCCGCGACTAGATTGTAGTCTAAAATAACGTATAGGTTACGTTTCATACCACGGGAATGCAAACGAAGCCATTGGCAGAAGGAAACTTTTTTTTTTATATTTGTTGGGGCGACGTTTGACCACTATCTCACCTGATGGCAAGCGATGATGCGGTCTACGATGGAGCACGACGTCCCATAAACAACCTATTCACTCGGGCCTTGAAGACTCCCAGGTTGTCCCTTCAGGAAATACAGAATCTGGCAAAGAATTCCACTCTTCTTCTCTCACACACAAACTAGTATAAATATAAGAATACTGACTGAAACAGTCGGCCGCAGAGGTGACAAGTAGCGGCAGTCGCCGTCTGGTGGCAGTATTTGGCATGTGTGTTAGTTTGGCGAGCTCGCACCCATTGCGAGCATTGTAGACATCTGTAGCGAGCTGAGTGGAGCGCTGTGTGAGATCGTAGGACTGCGCCCGTCGCAAAACGTAGGGTGCAGATGTCGCAACGGTATTCGCCGTTTGACTGAAAAAAACATAGTTAAAATACTAAAACCATGCTTCTAATCATTTATATAAGTCAAAGTCATTCATCATAACATCACGCCTTTTATCCCCGAAGGGTTAGGCAGAGGTGCACATTATGCCACAGTACCTACAATGTAACACCCACTTTTCACTATTTATGTTATGAGTCCCATGTAATAGGTGGTGAGCCTATTGCCATATACCGGGCACAATTACAGACTCCGTGCTACTACTGAGATTTTTTTTTTAAAACCCTTTAATATTTTGCCCGACCCGGGACCGGGAATCGAACCTGAGACCCCTTGCCCGGCAGTCGCGCTTGCGACCACTCGGCCAACGAGGCAGCCGTCAGCAAAGTCAAAATCATTTATTTTTATTTCAATTAGACCAGAAAGGCACTTTTGAAAGTCAACAAAAAGTTGCAAGTATTTGCCCATTCCAAGGTGTAGATTCCTATGTAGAAGAACGAGCAAGAAACTCCATAGGTTACTCTTTTTCAATCAAGTTCACAATACAATTCTCTAGTTACATAGTTCTGTTGGTCCGATTGTATGAGAATAATGCAACACCAAAACCAATCAGAGATCGATGGGAGAGCCATGCTTCGGCACGAATGGGCCGGCTCGACCGAAGTGATACTCCGGCCTCACAGAAAACCGACGTGAAGCAACGCTTGCGTTGTGTTTCGTCGTATTAGTGAGGTTACCGGAGGCCCAATTACCCTTCCCTTCCCCAATCTCCCCAATCCCTGAATCCCCAACAATCCTCAAACTCCTAATCCCCAACGATCCTCAAACCCCTAATCTCCAAAAGGCCGGTAACGCACTTGTAACGCCTCTGGTGTTCCAGGTGTCCATAGGCGACGCCGATTGCTTACCATCAGGTGATCCGTCTGCTCGTTAACCGGCTTATGCCGTAAAAAAAACATGACCTACCTCCTCATGCCTCATCATATGGGTCTGGTAAGTATCCTTAAACAGAAACCCGAGCGCACAGTTATAGCATTTAAACTCTGCTTCTAAATACTTCTTGCTCCTTCTTTGCTGTTCTAATTCTGCCTTCTGATCCTCGAAAGACAGAAGGATCTTCTCGAACGCTTTGCTTTTAGTTTTTGGTGAGTTTTTGTCTGTTTTTGTGTCTGAAAAGATAGGTACACTGTAGGTACATTCTAGCTAGACTTAAAAAATCTTAGTTCTATAATAGGGATGATGACAGGGTATGAAAATTAAAAATATAATTAGTCCGTAGGTTAGGTAATGAAAAAATATTAGACACGTATTTTTTATTTTGTCGTATAATAAAACAATACTTAGATAAAATGAATCAAAGTTTAGTAGTGAGGGCTAAAACGTCATTTTTACGCATAAAATGTACATAGAAGTGACGTCACGCGACATTTCAAATCAATATATCGTCGAAAGTATTCGTTTCTGTAAGAAAATAAAAAATACGTGTCTAATAATTTAAAATAATCTACTAGACGAATATTAAAATAAAATATTAGGCATCTACCCTATTGGCTTGTGCCAACTAGTCAAATTCAATACTTTTTTCGAACTGTCAAAAACGACAGTTTTCTATAAATTTTGTAAGAGATTGTGTGTTGTGACGTCACGTTTCTTTAGCGTCAAACAGCATACTTTTCTTAATAATTTGTTGGAAAAATACTAAATTTACGTTGGTCATAAAATCAATTAATGAAAGTGTGATCATTTTTTAATATTTAATTGTATTGAACAATTGAAATAATTTATTTTTAATTAAGGAAAGTACCCAATTGTTTATATGGCGCTCGCCTCTCAAGCATGAGGGTTTCAAACTTGTCAAATACCAATGTGATTTTACCAAATTGTATCATGTACCAATATTTTATCCACCTGCTTAAATGTGCTTTATCATATAAACGATCCCCCCCAGTCGACCTACGTTCATATATAAATGTTTATATATATATATAACATCACGCCTTTTATCCCCGAAGGGGTAGGCAGAGGTGCACATTATGCCACTGTACAATGTACCAACCACTTTCCACTATTTATGTTATGAGTCCCATGTAATAGGGGGTGAGCCTATTGACATTTACCGAGCACAAGTCCAAATTCCGTGCTACTACTAAGATTTTTGAAAAAACCCAGTGGTATAATATAGATCATTTAGTAATAATAGGGATAGTATGCATACTTACCAGCCTCTTCTTCCACTTCTTGAACAGCACATTCATTTCTAATTTCATTCAAACACTCATTTTTTTCTTCAGCATAAAATTCAGAAGACATACCAACATTATCAACACTCAAATCGTTATTTTCATAATTATTTGTTACATTATCTTCTGGATTTTGTTCTGTATTAATATTATCTAATTCACTATCATTATTAAACGTTTCACCATCGTTATTGTAAGTTTCGCCATCGTAATTAAACATTTCGCCACCGTTATTAAATGTTTCACCAACGTTGTTATACAATTCATCACCATTCATTTCTAAACGATCATTTGTACATTTTTCAGCTTCTTTTACAGTATTTTCATGAAAATAATCACTAGCGTCATAGTCATCGCGGTCATCTTCGAGTTTTATATAATCTTGGCTGTTTATACTTTGATCTTTGTTCTCTATATATAAATTGTGTTCGTCTCTCCGTGAGCATATTTCTTCTGTACATACTATTATAGGTTTTATGATACTTCTTTGTAAGTTAATGGTGCCTTTAGCGCTGAAATTAAAAAAATATATAACAAGTTTTAAATCAACATCATCAACAGCCTATAAGTGGCCACTGCTGACCAAAGGCCTATTCCTCACACGGAGAAGGTTTGAACATTAATCACCACGCTTGCTCAATGCGGGTTGGTAATATTAAACTTATAATTAGAAACTAGCTACTTCCGCGCGGTTTCACACGCTCTGCTCAGCTCCTATTAGTCATAGCGTGATGTTTTATAGCCTATAGCCATCCTTGATAAATGCGCTATCCAATACAAAAAGAATTATTCAAATCAGACTTGTAGTTACGGAGATTAGCGCGTTCAAACAAACAAACAAAAAAACAAACTCTTCCGCTTTATATATTAAGTATAAGATTAACAGTTCACGTTTCTTGACCTTGCCCGGCAGTCGCACTTGCGACCACTCGTCCATTGAGGTAGTCGAAACTAAACAACATCTTTGCATCATCAGAGTGCCAAGCACGAATAACTATTGCATTCGTATCGTAACAGTGTCGAGCGAGTTAAGCGTTCTGATTGGTTGGTTCACTTGAGCCGGCCAATCAGAGTGCCAAGCACGAATAACTGTCGCAATCGTAACGTAATAGTATCGAGCGCGTTCGGCGCTCTGATTGGCCGGCTCAAGTGAACCAACCAATCGCTTAACTCGCTCGATACTGTTACGATACGAATGCGATAGTTATTTGTGCTTGGCCCTCAGAGGCTTTAGTACCAGTTTCACGTTTCTTGACCTTGCCCGGCAGTCGCACTTGCGACCACTCGTCCATTGAGGTAGTCGAAACTAAACAACATCTTTGCATCATCAGAGTGCCAAGCACGAATAACTATCGCATTCGTAACGTAATAGTATCGAGCGCGTTCGGCGCTCTGATTGGCCGGCTTCAGTGAACCAACCAATCAGAACGCTTAACTCGCTCGATACTGTTACGATACGAATGCGATAGTTATTCGTGCTTGGCACTCTGAGGGCCAAGCACGAATAACTATTGTTCATTTGAGCCGGCCAATCACAGCGCCGAACGCGTACTCGTTACGATTACTTTAAACGTAAATGAAACTTCTACTAAAGCCTCTGAGGGCCAAACACGAATAACTATCGCATTCGTATCGTAACAGTGTCGAGCTGATTGGTTGTTCACTTGAGCCGGCCAATCAGAGCGCCGAACGCACTCGATACTATTACGTTACGATAGTTATTCGTGCTTGGTACTCAGAGGCTTTAGTACAAGTTTCATTTACGTTTAAAGTATTCGAAACGAGTACGCGTTCGGCAATCTGATTGGCCGGCGCCAATGAACCAATCAATCAACCAATTAAAAACATTTTATTTTGGGGATTTTTAAGAACATTTTTTCAACTTTTGGAGGAACTTTTCTCAGTATATTCACGTGAGTAACCCGTGATTTTTAGTTAATTTATTTAGATAATAGTATTATAAAAGAGCTAAGGGCACTCACAACTTTATTTTCTCTGCTTTTCTCTCCCACTTCCCCTAACTATCTAACTTCACATTTCCAGTATGTATGTGACAACCATACTAAAAATCTACGCTCCTCGCATAATCGGCTATTGCACTGTCCTGTCCATCGCAGTAACTTTACTCATTCTTCTTTCTTCATTCAAGTCATTTCTCTCTGGAACACGCTTCCAACGAATGTCAGAACCGCAACCAGTCGTCTGAGTTTCAAGCGGAGGGCGCGTGAGTACATTAGCGGAATGCTGGCAGTTTCATGACATCTTTCATCTACGGCTCATAGATAGATTATATTATGTATGATGTTATTTATATCTATCTATATATATGTATGATTATTTATATTATTATATACGTATTTTATGTGTGCTTTGATGCTCCTTATTAATTTTGATAATTACCACTAACATTTTTGCAGCTTACCACCAAAGGATGACTGGCAGAGAATGCTGTTAGCATTAAGTCCTCCTTATGCAATTGTATTGTATAAAACTTAAATAAATAAATATAAAACATATAATTATGTTTATCTCTGAAATATATAAGTGCATCTAATTTACTTGCTCAATTAAATCATTGCTTGCTTCTTGCTCCTACCAATAACTCGTCTCTGCATCACCCAAAGGTCAGACTGGGGGAAAATGCCTGCGGCATCAAGTCCACCTTCTGTACGCTTTGTGCATGAAGCTTAATTTTTTTTTTAAATCTACAATCAACCGATACGCACGACATCCCATCTGATTAAAGCCATATCGGCTGACTGTAGATTTAAAAAAAAAGCTTAAATAAATCCTTAATAATCCTTACTAATATTATAAATCTGAAAGTGAGTTTGTTTGTTTGTTCCACCTTCACGCCGTAACTACTCAACCGATTGCTTTGAATTTTTTTTAAAAGTCCGGATTAAATGATAGGGTACTTTTTAACCCTTAAAAATTGATATTCCCGAGGAAAAATAAAAGTATTGGTATAGATGGCGCTGTGTGTATTAGTATATGTCACATAGGCTACTTTTTATCCTTTTGTGACGCGAGCGAAGCCGCGGGTAAAAGCTAGTAATATTATAAATCGGAAAGTGAGTTTGTTTGTTTGTTCCACTTTCACGCCGTAACTACTAAACCGATTGCTTTGAATTTTTGTAGACGTAAATTTTGAAGTCCGGGTTAAATAATAGGGTACTTTTTATTTTTATTCCGAAAAAATTTGATATTCCCGAGGGAAAACAAAAGTATTGGTATAGATGGCGCTGTGTGTATTGGTATATGTCACTTAAGCTACTTTTTATCCTTTTGTGATGCGAGCGAAGCCGCGGGTAAAAGCTAGTAAATAAATAAAAAACAAAATATTGTTTGATACCAACCTGAATAGTACAGGGTATTCCAGACTTCTCTTCAGACATAATGACTTAAATGACCATAGTTTATTAACTAGATGATCACAAATGTAACACAGATGGGAGTCTGGACACAGCTGAAACATAATTTTTAAAAATTATATCTCTCATTTTGAACTTGCTGTTGCCCGCGACTTGTTCACGTGGAATTGTGATTCACAGGTCCTCCCCCGTAGATGATAGCGTGATAATATATAGCCTATATGTTGACCCGACCTGTTAGTAATATTCATGCAAAATCTGAAGTAAATCCATGCAGTACTTTTGGAGATCATCCCAGATATACATACAGACAAACAGACAAAAATTCTATAAACCATATTTTTGGCTTTGGTATCGACTCTAGATCACGTCTCAAGTATTCTTTTAAAAAAATATTCAATGTACATACAGTTTTGACTTTTATACGATTTTATTATATGTATATATATAGATAGACTACCGTTTTAACTTAATGGTTAAAATGGTGGTTAAAGTATTTAGTTTATTGATGGAAGAAGACCTAAGTCGCTTTTTCACTAGGAGACATTTCTTCCCCGACTTTTACTTGTCGCTATTCAATGCTCTGTAAGCATCGACACACACAACTATACATGTCTCTCAATAGTCGACAGTCATAAATATACACATAACATCAACAGTCTATAAATGCCCACTGCTGACCAAAGGTTTGAGCATTAATAACCACACTTGCTCAATGCACATTGGCAATTCCAAACTTATAATTATATATTATAAGCCCAGGTTTCCTCACATCGTTTTGTGTGGTGTCTAAAATAATCTTAGAAAGTACGTATAATTCGGAAAAAGTCACATTGGTACTTGCTGTTGGTAGGTTTTGAAACCGCACCTTCATGCATGAGAAGCGGGCGTTTTAGACCTCTGGGTCACCACGACATTTAACATGAATGGAACTGGTGAAAAGTAAATCTAGTTAGTTCAAAACCGCTTCTGCCTACCCCTAAGGAGTAATAATTTGTTCTTTTGTGTTTGTATTAGATTATCCAGATTCTAATTAGAAAGTAACAGGTAAGCGTTGTATTATGCTAAATTTCTGATATCTAATTAAAATTTTGGGTACTACAAGACAGTAAACTACACAAAAATTCTAAGTTTCGTTAAATATTGCAGTAATTTTGTAAATAATTTCATTACGTTCATTCCGACGATTTCTCTGTACTTCTCTCGTGAATCTTCATTGGTATCAGAGTTCACTGTGTTGCGGCAGATGAAGCATAAGAACGAGGACATCTTCTATTTAAGTTTCGTAAATAGAATCCAATTTTTTACGTGTTTTCGTAAATATTTTTGTAAACAAAAAACTAGATCACCTACAAGTGACAGGAGTTTTGAGTTGACGTAAGAAAATCAATCAGTCACCTGATGACTAGTTTATGGTTTTATTGATGCATTCAATTAATTATTCCAATTTAATTGTAAATCAGGAAGCACTGTTTTCTGTAAAAGTTAAGTATATCTTCCTTTAACTTTATTAATTAGTCTGAAAAAGGACAAGCATGACAATGAGGGCTTCATTAAGGTAGAAAGGAAGAAGAAGCCTCCTTGCCGCAACCAGTGCGGTACCGCGCTGGCAGGACCCAACATGCTTCTGCGTCCAGCGACACCCACGACGCTGCTGTACGTGTCCCGACTGCATCACTCCACGAAGGCAGAGGATGTCGTGGAGTATTTGCGAGTGAAGACGAACTGGACCTTGAGAGTCGAGAAGTTGGAGTCGCGCCACAATACTAACTTCAAATCGTTCGTGGTGCGGGTTCCAACACATGATCTTGAAACCTTTCTCAAGGAACAGTTTTGGCCGAAGGGTATCGTGTATCGGCGTTTCCGTGGCCGGCTACGTGATACCAGTCAGCGAAACACGACGCCGTCTCTTCGTATGCAATAATTACCTCTATAATTAGTTTTGTTATTGTATATCTATTAGTTTATTGATGTTTAAATTTTTTGGTATTTGTTATTTTTTAGTTTTGTATTGTATTTTTATTTGTGTATTATATTTTATATGGGCCACAGTTGCCTGAAATAAAGAAATAAATAAATAAATAAATTTAACGTAACTTAAGGAAATAAGAATATTGAAATATGAAATAAAAATACAAATTGTATAGTTTATATTGCTTCCTTTTGTACTACTAAAACCTTATTTTTGAATGCATTCAGAACCTACTTGTTTCTGGAAATTGCGTAATTAGGGTTGTACTTGTTTGTTGATATACTTTTAGTAGATTATGCTAAGTCGACTAAATTGAATAAATGTCGAAGTTTGTACGAAAATATTTTGTTTATTTTGTATGTTTAGACATATGGAAAACTATAATGAAGGACAGAATAGTACAAACAAATAGAAGTTTCATGTTTTCCATTTAGTCTCCTTGTAACAATGTTTCAACAATGTTTCTTTTAGTTTACTTTGTATTCCCAAAAATCGACTAATACTGAATACGAAACTTTTTCAAAGGCGCAGTGCAGCGCCACACGTCACGTCAGATTCAGAAAAAGGATAAATTTTGTGCCTTGAAGCATATTTCAATAAAAATTAACATTATTTCGACACTGTTATAAACAATACGGCCCCAATAATTGGGTCAATAAACTGTGCATTCCCTGTAGAACTATTGTGTTGTGCGTGTGTATTTTTCCCGTTTTTATCTGTGTTCGAAACGGTTTTGGTGTTTCTCAAATAAGCGGTTCTCAATTGTATGAATTGGCATAGGACTTTATAATTAGCCGTTTGCGTCGTCTCCTACATTGTGCGTGCCACAATTGCCGGACGTTTAATTCTCGAGGCTGTTATTTATTAGACAATCTTGTCAAGAAATGTGCGGTGCGGTAATCGTAGCGAATTTTTCGCGTCCAAAATATATTTGATGAACAGCGATATCAGTGATAACTGTAAGTATTTATTTAGTATTCTTTTTTTAAAAATGTTGGCTTCTTTTTTTTTAGTGATGCGGTAATATTATATCACAAGGTTTTTTTTTAATTGAATTAGTGTCAATAGTATTAGGTCAGTTCAGTTCACACTTCACAGATTATGTTAAATAGATTCTAATAAAGACCGCGCTTTTTGCGCGTTTTAATTTTTTTTTTATCGTAATCATTATAATATTTTTTTTATGTACTTTAACATCATAAAAGACCTATTATTATTTCTCATGGGCTTAAACCATGCGTAGTTTCAATTTAAATGTACATTAATAAAAAAACTCCTACAAATATCTAATTATTTACCAGTTATAGTAACACTATCAACTTGATAAAACTTTTAATCTTTCAATTTAAAATGTTTAACAATAATTCTGTTATCAATTCAATAGATTCAATATTTTTAAGTATTAAATATGACTGTACTTGTACATATAGATATAATTTTATTCGAACACAACTTTTATTTCTATGTACTGGGTGACCAATTTTTTTTTTCTGGGAATTAAGACTGAGTTGTAACTTACTTAACTAAAATTACCTAATTTGGCAGTTAGGCACACAATAAGTTAGGCACACATTAAGATTTATAAACCGACCTTTTACTGTTGAATTCATAAATTCATGCTGAAATGTATAATATGTAATAAAACTTCTTTGAAAGGTATTTTTTATACTTTCTAAATCTAAATGACCAATTAAAACTGTTAAACAACAATTTATGGACATTCATCATCATCATTTTCGGGACATTTCTATCCATTGCTAGACATAAGCATCAATAGACCCGAGTTATGGTGCATTGCGTTCAGTGTGTGCGGCTCAAACAACCATTAGATCACCACAGATGGGGCTTAGTAGGTATGATGCCGATGTGGAGCTGCAAAGGAATTAATGAGATGCCGGGGCTTCGGTTCGAAGTGCAAGAGTAGGAATATGGTGGTTTTAAGTCAGTAAGAGTCTGGCACTCCCTTTCGCCTCAGCCGGGCAGGAGAAGTCATTGGATGATTTTCCCTGCTCAAAAAAAGGCCCTCAATCCACACATAATAATTTAACCTGGTGAAAATTGTTGAAAATCATCCCCTAAACTTCTTCATACAAAAGTTCTAAACATTGGAAATAAGGTCTTTAATGTAGCTAGTGAAGAGTGGTAACTGGTGACCGCTTGGGGACATACAGGTTCAGATATATATCTTTAGATATATCTTCAGATCGTAGACGTAAATAAATACAAATCTTGCTAGCCAAATATTAGTCAGTCTAATTCCATTTCTTACAAGATATTTTTTTTATGGCATAAGCCGGTAAATGCGCAGATGGATCACCTGATGGTAAGCAATCGGCCCGCCCATGGACACCTGGAACACCAGAGGTGTTACAAGTGCGTTACCGGCCTTTTGGGAATTAGGAGTTTGAGGATCATTGGGGAGATTAGGGGAAGGGGAGGGTAATTGGGCCTCCGGTAACATCACTTACACGACGAAACAACGCAAATGTTGCTTCACGTCTGTTTTCTGCTCGGCCGTGGTATCACTCCGGTCAAGCCGGCCCATTCGTGCCGAAGCATGGCTCTCCCACACTTAAATATATTTTGTCTATTTATACATAATTATGTTTACCAGAATTTAGTTTTCTGATTCAATTTCTTATTTAAGACAATCTCATTTGGTTACTGACAATACTGTCGTTATCTCAAATGCATACCTGCAGCTGTAGCCAAATGCCATTTAGCGCTTGTCTACATGTAGAATAGAAAAATAAATTATATGGGATTGACGTAAATTTTGACACTTATCAGTGTCATCCCAATACATTTTGATATCTACTCTCTCTGTAGACAAGTGCTAAAGTGGCGTTTGGCTAAAGGATCTGTTTGTAGAAATAAAATATAATAGGATGAACTCATCTAACTTCGTGACAAAGGCATTTGAGTAATAAAATACCAATAAATTATTAATTAATTTAATTCAGTCTCCGCATGAGTTTTAATCAGTCTTTTATGAGGAATATTAGCACAAATAATCAGATTTTTCTTTAGAAACCTAAGAGTTGTACCAAATTTACTAAACCGAATTATTAGGCGAGTCACAGAATTAGATGAGTTCACTTTACTAGATTCTGCTAGCTGCCTCGTCCGCATCCTCGTGAGATGAAAAGTAGCCTTCGTGTTATTTCATACAGTACATAGTATACCTACCTCTGTTAAAAATTTCATCCCAATCCCTTCAGCCGTATTAATATGATTGAGTAACAAACACACTCGCAAAGATTAGCATTCTTAATATTGGTTACATTTCATTGGGATATGTTTTTAAATGCACCCACAACACTGAAGATATTTCTAGTCTCATCATCAACAGCCTATAAATGCCCACTGCTGAGCAAAGCCTCTTCTCACACGGAGAAGGTTTGAGCATTAATCGCCACGCTTGCTCAATGCGGGTTGGCGATTTCAAACTTATAATTAGAAATTGTAAGTCCAGGTTTCCTCACGAAGTTATTCCTTCACCGTTTGTCAGTGGTGTCTAGATAATCTTAGAAAGTACATATAACTCGGAAAAAGTCACATTGGTACTTGCCGTTTGTAGGTTTCGAACCTGCACCCTCATGCGTGAGAAGCCTTAAACCTCCGGGCCACCATGACACAACTAGCTACGCAACTATTTCTAGTCTACTATATAAAAATAAGTCGGGTTTTCCTTCCTTACGCTATAACTCCAGAACGCATGAACCACGACGAAAAGTCTCGGGCTCCGTGAGGTTTATAGCAAAGAATCACTACATAGTATAAAACAAAGTCGTTATCTGCCGTCTTGTCTGTCCCTATGTACGCTTAGATCTTTAAAGCCACGCAACAGATTTTGATGCGGTTTTTTTTAATAGATAGAGTGATCATTAAGGATAGTTTATATGTATAAAACATACATATTGCACCCGTGCGAAGCCGGGGCGGGTCGCTAGTTTTATATAAAAAAGAATGTCATTAATTCTCACTGACTTTTTAAAATGATAATTTGGGATTGTGTAAACAGTATATAAATGTTTGTATGCACAACTGCATATTACAAGGCTATGTGTTAATTCTTTTGTTAAACAATAAATAAATAATATAATAGTGGGGGAGAGCCATGCTTCGGCACGAATAGATGGCTCGACCGGAGTGATATCACGGCCTCACAGAAAACCGACGTGAACCAACGCTTGTTTCGTCTTTCCTCGTGTGAGTGAGGTTACCGGAGACCCGATTACCGCGTTCGACGTTCTGATTGGCTTGCTCCGATCATAGAAATGTATGAAACACAGACAGTCAAAAAGAGACAGACCAATAAACAATACCTATTACTGGAAGCAAGTATAAGCTCACACATAGGACCCACTTAGATTTTAGTCAAATTTCCGTGGTGCTTGGCGACTGGGCTTTACCCAGTTGTACAGTCTCTTTTCTTTGTGCCTTTAGGCTTAATTCACTCTGTCTCCTGCAGTAATTCACCGAGGGAAGTGGAAATTATCGTTTTTTTTTCTCCTCTTATAATATCTTCTGATTCACTTCGTTGCGGGAACCAAGACAGTTATTCATGTCTCTGGGACGCGCCGGACTTCAGTGTTCCGGTGTTTTCATGGTTGTATCTACTGTAGGTCCTGGCTTACAGAAGTTGCAGCGGTTTTGGGAGGTTGTGGCGGGCTTGTCCTATTAAAAAAAAAGACCAATAAACAACCTTTTTTATTAGGTATATCTATGGCTCCAATGAACGAGCCAATCAGAGTGCCGAATGCGGTAGCGTTTCGATCTTCTTAAACGTAGAACAAACTAACAATAAGGCCTGAGGAGTGCAAAAGGGATAGTTTTATTTTAGTCCATTACAAAAAGGTCGTAGCCCTAGTTCTAGTAGCGTTCCACGTGCACCTCAAGGAGCCATCAGACCACCACGGATGGGGCCCAATAGGGCCGATGCCGATACGGAGCCGCGGAGGACTTAACGGGTTACCGGGGCTCCGGCTCGAAGTGCAGGAGTAGGAACGGAGTGGTTTTTAGGCAGTAAAAGTCTGACACTGCCCTCTCGCGTCATCCGGGCGGGAGAAGTCATTCGAAGATTTTCCCCCCTCACAAAACAAAGCCCTAGTTCTTAAGTCCAACAAAATGATCTGGATTCTAAAGAAAGTAAAAAACTTCTTCCATAATAAAACTGTTCGTTCGACGGCTAGAAATAGGAACTGTTTCAATTAACATCAATTAGAATTACGCCGTAGTCCAATTATACTAATTGGTGACGTCACGTAAACACAATACTCGTCCTCTTTTCTGTAAGGAGGGTGAGCAGGACTTGTGGTGTGACTTAAAATGTACAGATTAATCTACGGTGAGATTTTTTTTGAGCGGACGAAATCATCCAAGTACTTCACCTGTTTTGGGGTAGGCGAGAGGGAGTGTCAGACTCTTACTGACTAAATACTACCCCGTTCCTACTCCTGCTCTTTGAGCCGGCAACCCGTTAGGCCTTCTGCGGCTCCGTATCGACAGTGATAGACCTACGGTCTTCATCCAAAATCTGCAGATTGATCTAAGTTTTCTAAAGTCCATAGTAACAACAAAAGCCAAGAATCAAAATTAAACCAAAGACGGTTGCAGTAAAACAGGCGGGAGCAGTCATTCGATGATTTTCCCCCCTTAAAAAAAAACCAAAGACTATGTGATGTTTTGAATTAAAATCTATTATTAATTAATTTCAACCGCTAGAGGTCCCGACTCCCCGAGTACCTACTTCCAAAACATTTTACAATCAATCACGATTAGTATAGACATTATTTTTTGGGGAATTTTTTACTGCACCTCTATTTAGAAATTTAAGCAAACCAAATTTCTCCACTAATAACTTACTGCATATCAAAAAAATTACTGTAACTACAAATTAACTACCTATTACAAAAACATACACATTACATCGTAAAACAAAAATACTGATTTGCAC